TTATATTTTGACACGCGGCGCGCGGTGAAGTCAGCCAGCGGGACTAAGGTACGGAATTAATATCTGACAATGAACCTCTACAGTACATGCAACTTATTTTGGCCGTTATTAAAAGTCACGCGAGGATCCGGATCATTTGAATCCTAGCTTGCAACTCGGTCTGCGACTGCAGCTAAGGCACTTCGGCCGGTCAAAAGAGCGCGGTAGACTTTGAACCGGTACCACGACCTGCCCCACTGCTAGTCTCACGGTATTGGTCGGTAGTAGTGCCGGTAGAACAATACATCCTCAGTGCGCAGCTTGGGCAACCGCCGCCCTCCCGAGGCTCCAACACCATGTTTCGGGCCTAGACACTTGGCAGCTTCTGACTGGCCTTATCGCTTCGAGCGAATCTTGGCCCAAGTCCCGAGCATTTTCCATCAAGCAACCGGGCATAGTTACGGGCGGACCTGTCACCTTCTTCTACAACGCTATGTGCATGTTTTACGCGCTTTTTGCACATGCTGGTGTGCACACGCTCATCAAAATGAAGTGCAACCATCGATCTGAAAGACGTACATTTGCAGTCACCTCATAGCCTTGCTCGTGGTCCACAGCTTCGGTTGGCTATTTGCAGAGACTCTGAAAGGCCTGCCTAAATTCTCTTCGCTCGCACAACGTAGCTGCTTAGGATTATGGAAGAACTTAGCCGCCCCATAAACATGCTGCATGTCGTCACTGCTTTGCGACATTCATGGAAGCTTTCTTCAGCCTGGCTTCATCATCTCGACAACCCATGAAGGCTGGCGAACCCACAGACTTTGGTGACTCTAGTAGCTCATGGGGGCCCCGGCCCACCGCGGAATGTTGTCATCGACGGTGCCGCCTAAAAATTGGTTCCACCATGACCGTACGATCAAGCGACGGCCGGCCGCTGCTCGTTCAATTACTCAGGAATGGGGTCCTCAACCCTCCCGCTAAACCCCCAGACAACGCGCGGCAGGCGCGTGGCGCCCTCCGGCCGCGGCCCGGATCGGCGTCATTCATTCGGGATGATGCGGATTTAAACAACCTTGCAGGAAACCCCAGCTAGGACTACCCAACGTCAGTACTTTCAAGTTACAGAGCCGCCTTTTCCTGTTTCACGGGAGTGTCTATTCAGAAGCTTGACCAGCATTGAGAGCCGTTCGTATCCCATGTTTTCCTTCGCCTAGGACTTGTTTTGGCACGTTCGTGAATGCCCGAAACATTTACAGACCTTCAAACTACTTATGCACTCTTATGCAACCAATCCTTGAGGAATTTCAAGGATGTACCTTATAGAAGGATTACGGAAGCTGTTGCACAGGCGGCACGACTCCGCAAGTGGATTTAATCCGAAACTCTTGAAAGAAGTTAAGAAGCTTTCCAACGACAAGCGGGCAATGTATGAGCCGCAAAAGATCGATGTAAGCATTTTATATTATCAGCCCTCTACAGGGCGTCGAAGGCGTCCTAGTGAAACGCAACGTGCGACTTCTTGATCTGCCCCCTTCTGTTCTCCAAGGCTATGGTTGGGGCAAGGCAGGTGCAGTGGTTTCAATATCAAAGTTCAACCAAAGAATTCGCTAAGTATCTGCTCGGCTGCTCCTGTCGCGTTATTTGGATCCTCTTTTCTTCATCAGGTTGCTGTACCAAGGGACAAAAACTGAATTTGATATATGTGCAGCGATTTTACAAACTCATCGAGGAATTGGCTTACTTGGACAAGGATACAGCATTTCTGATCTATCTTGATTGGTGCATGCTGGATCTTGATATCCGCGCGCAGGGGGCCCGGGCCACACTCGTGAGTAATCCAGCGTTGCAAAGGGTGCTCCTTTGGTTGACTGCTCAGCAGAGGGCTTCAGTAGCGCCCCAGAAGCGTCTTACCCTCCAAATCTTTTACCTTCTTCAAATCCATCCCAACTGACGCTCAGATTGACAGGTGTCGCTCAAGTCAAGATTGACATCCATTTCCCCTCAACTCTGCAGCCAAGCAACGCAGATTTGCAAGCAAGTTTCGATAAACATGTGGACTGGCTAAAACCAGAGAACGAGGGAAAGCCGTGGAACCAGAGGCACGTGAGTTGGAACTCGATGGCCAAAAGAACCTGCTTGCTCCTTCATGCTTCCGATCAGAAGTTTCACAGAATTCTTGCTTGACTGTTGAGAAACTGAATGTTGTCATAGTTTCAACGGTCGATATATTCTCGAGATGCTACCGAAACGAACTCACATTCACCAGTCACCTTTCTCGCTGCAGTCCACTCTTACTCCGGCGCTGGTTATCTTCTACAATCGGTGCTAGACGGGAAAAGCGGCAGATGTGTGCAGAGACAGGATCATTCGAAGACTCAATGGACGCATCGAGGACAGCCCTCAGATACTTCTCATGCTTGCGGGCACCTCAGGCTTAAAAGTCAGCTTGTTCTGCATGCATTTGGCAAGCAATTGTAGACAGGTTTTTAAGCATGGCTGCCGATGGTGCCTTTGCGCTAGCTAGTAACTGTGGTCATCGGTGTCATCATAGGCCGCGGTATGCCCTTCAAGATAGAGCCGGCCGTCTTGTTTTCGGTTGCAATATTTGTGTATTATGATGAAAGAGTGATCAGCTGGATCTTCCGTGAAAGGTTTAGGGGACAATCCCGTATCTCTCGATCTAGTGAACAGCGGTGAACAGTAAGCATTTTGGGGTTACTAAAAACCCTAACCCAAAGGATCACCCGCTCCGCACCCGTACCCACCCTAACCTCCTAACTAACCCTACCCGTCTCCGTTACTGTTCACTGGCTGTTGCTGTTCACTACATCGATCGGGATGACAATCCCTGCACCTGAAGATTGACACGTAATGCTATGCGAGGGACTTAGGATGGAGGGACTAGCTTTCCAGGCAACAATCATATGTGCACTCCTTGTCTATTTGGCACAACATGGCGCCATCTTATAGTGCTGGAAGTTGATCGGCGTCGATTGTGCTATTGGGAAGGTCTCCATTTTCAATTGGAAAGTGAAAATGACCAACGGTCCTTTTGACTTTCACGCAACACTCCAGTCGTCGATCGATCCCATGGGACCGCCAAATCCAATTGCGTCATGAGCCGCTGCACTGTATGACTCAGTGGTTGCTTAAAATCGTCCATTCCAGCTAGCATGAGCATGACCTACGTACATGTCAAGCACAAAGTGAAACGTATTCTGGCATGATTGTCGCTTCAATGGTCGGGAGGAATTTCGTAGGCCCGCGGCGTGCTTTCTTACATTTCCAGTGGCACACAATTGTGGAATACCTGTTCGCTCGAAGCCTGCTCACTGTTCCCCGGACCCCAGGCGCGGCGTGTCCGATCCCGGCCGGCGATCCTAACCCTCCCGATAAACCCCCAGACGACGCGCGGGGCGCCCGGCCCAGGCTCGCGGCGCCGGCCGCGGTGATCCAATCGCGTGTGCGCGGCGAATTTTTGGTGGTTCCAAGCAAGCAGGACGCAGGCAGCTCAACTTAAAGAAACAGAAGTCTTTAGTACCCCTAGAACCGCCTTTATCTGTCTCAGTGTCTAATGGCCAGCATTGAGAGCCGTACGTATCCGCTGCCATGTTCTCCTTCGCCTAGGACTTGTGTTGGCACATTCGTACCTCGTTCGTACACGATGCCCAAATCATAACTGACTTGAAGCTTCCAAACAACTTATGCACTTTTAGGCAGCCGACCCTTGAATGATCTTTCAAAGATGTACCTAATCAAAGGATTACGGAAGCTGTTGCAGAGGCGGGATGACTCCGCAAGTGGGATTGATCCGAAACTCTTGAAAGAGGTTAAGAGGCTTTCCAAGGACAAGCGAGCGGTGTGTGAGCGGCAGAAGATCATTGTGAGCATTCAATCATCAGCTAATTACAAGGCGTCCAAAGCTTCGCGGAATTCAATGTGCAACTTTTTGATTTGCCCCCTTCCTATTTCCACTTTTTGATGCTTGAGGCAATAAGGCAACGCAGGTGTGACAGGTGCAGTAGTTTCTATTGAGTCACTCTACCTGAGACATCGCCTTATGAAGCTACTCGCTGCTCCTGTCGCTTTGAGGGTTCCGTTTGGATCCTCTTCCCCTCATCAGGTTTCTGTGACAAGAGACAAAACTGGTATATCTGCAGCGGTTTTACGAGCTCATCGAGGACTTGGCTTACTTGGACAAGGATACAGCATTCCCAATCTATCTTGATTGGTGCATGCTGGATCCTGAAATCCGAGCGCAGAGGCTCACACTGGTAAGAATTCAGCTCGGCAAAGGGTTCTTTCGGTTGACTGCTAAGCAGAGGGGCTTCAAAGCTGCTTGCCCTCCAGACCTAGGACTTATTTCAAGTCCAATTGTATGCTCACAGCAAAACGTTTTGCTCAAGTCAAACTGACATTTTTGCTGTCATGCGAAACTGCAGCCAATCGACGCAGATCTGCGAGCCAGTTTCAATAGAGAGGTGGAGTGGCTGAAACCACAAAACGAGGGGAAGCCGTCGAACCAGAGGCATGTGAGTTTGATCTGATGGCCAACAGAAGCCTGCTTGCTCCTTCATGGTTCTGATCAGATTTCCAAGGGATCCTTTTCTTGGTTCTCAAAACTTCAAGGTTCTCATTTCAGGGGGCAATGCATTTAAGATGCGACCCCGATGCAACCAAATAGCTCTTACATACAACAATCCACCTTGGTCATTGCAGTTAACTCTAACTCCGGCGCTGGTTATCTTCTACAATCGGTGCTAGATAAAATTAGCCGCGCGCCAGATTGAAATCGTTGTGGTCCTCCAGCGATGCATCGAGGACATGCATCACATCATCGACGTTTTCGGGCACCTGAGGAATAGGGTAAGGTTTGCGCATCTATGCTTGCAGTCGTCGTCAGCTGTCAAACATGGCTGCCGATGGTGTCTTTGCGCTAGTCATTTCAAGCGACTACAGGGTAGGCCTTTCCTAAACTGGCCGGTCTTGTTTTTAACTGCAACAATTGTTCATCACTGATAAAGTACATTGATCAGCTCAATTGTCCTGGGAAGTTCTGAAGAAAAGACTATCTGAAGATCGACATGAGTAGTGCTTCGACGAAAGGATCATTGGAATTATAGTAGCCTGCTGGCTCATCATTGACAACTATCATTTGTGAACTCTTCATCTACGGGCACAATTGCCGCTGAGTCCAGCTCGTGTCTAACAATCAATGAGCCTCCGTCGACGTACTCTGTTCGATTGCAAATATGTAACCATGTCCAAGACAATGTTGGGGGTCACATGACTGTGACCAATATATGGCGGGTGCTTGAACGTCAAGATTTCTCTGACGGCCTAATACTCCAGTCGTAGCGCCGGATCCCGGCCGGAGTCCGATGAGTCCCAATCCGATCAGCCCACATGTGCAACTGCCAAAGCCAGTACGTCTGCAGCACTGCATGTCATGCATGCCGCGCAGATCTATTTCATGAATAATTACACATCATATTATCTGCAATTGTCCACGTGAAGGTTTGTATCAAATTCACGCCAGGAGCTGAACTTTAAATCTCTCGGTCACAGGCACGACGGTCGCGAGGGGAGCGAGTCTTAATATACTTTTGCCAAATGCGTCTAAACGTTTCTAGCCAATTAACTTACGTATCGTGTTGACTGCACAGGGCGGCCTCATGTGTTTGTAAGAACTCTCGTTCTCGATGCCAACTTTTCACGGGTGGATTGTTTGAACTTGGAATGGAAGATGAGCTAGCAACATTAACAAGATACAGCTTAATTAGCAGAGTAATGCACATAGCTCAAGGCTCATGAGGATATGAGCACAAGCTTTGATATATTCTGGAGGTGTTCGTGCTATTACTTTGTCAGGCTTCGATGTTGGCAGTTTCGTTGCGACAACACGCCACCACACTTGTATAATGGCATGACGGCCAGCTAGTGCCATATACATCTGGCAACAAGCCCAAGATTGACGGGGCTCGTAACGTCGTGCGTCACGTGCAACTGAAACACAGCGCGTTGGAAAATTGTCGATCCATAAGGAGCTGAATAACGAGCGTCATAGTTGTCCTGTGCTGAGTTTGATGATGTTCGAGAGAGTGCCCGTGATTGTCACGAGCACCCCAATGGATATCATCGTCAAAACTAAGTACCTGCACGAGTGACGACAAAATCCAAGTCAATCTGCTTGGGGTCAGTGTAGAGTAGAGGCCAGGTTGTCCTCAAATTAGACCGGCACTCCTCGCCCACAGGTCCCCACCACTAACAGTCCAAATGAGGTCTCCGAAACCCTAATATCTGAACAGAGAGATCTGATGGAGGGTTGGAAAATGGCAGAACGCAAATCAAGCTTTTGAACCATAGAAAGCAACCGAGAGCACGAAATACCGTGTCCATGTAGGAACCAAAACAGGCCAGACAGAGAATCATCCAAAAGTAAAAGCTGTTGACGGATAGCTAACACTCAAAGTGGACGGAACCCAGCGATCCTGTTTGCTCGAAGCCTGCTCACCGTTCCCTGTACCCCGCCATCTTGGCCCCCCACCGCCAGGCAATCAACGCGGGGAACGTAAACCCCAATGAGACCGCCGCCGTGGCGCCCGTAAACTCAAACGCCACCCAAATGTTCGGAACGAACGCCGAGCCGATGAAGGTCAACGTCAGCAGCGCGACGGTGATGCCGTAGAAGCGCACGGGGCTGTGCGCGAGCGGGGGTGCCCCGGAAAAGAGCAAGGCGTCCACGACCTCCCGGAACGAGTAATGGATGAGCGGGAAAACGCCCAACAGGTGGAGCGCGTAACTCAAGCGCACCACGTCGTTCACCTGCGAATGCCGTGTACTCAGTAATACCGGATGTCGAACTTCACCCCCAGACATCAAACCCCTAGGAAACGCAACTCGACGATCTCCCGAACAGGTGCGACGCGTAGCTCAAGCGCACCACGCCATTCACCTGCAATCGCCTTTTTAAACCAGATCGTCACATTTGCAGAATATTAAACGCCTAGGAAGTCGAAGTGATGATTTCGGAGTGCGCGGAACAGGTGCAGCGCTTAGCGGACCAGATTCGTTCACCTCGTTCACCTGCGCATACGCCTTAGATCCATGATCCAAAGCACAAAACGCGGAAAAGCGGTTAGCCTCGACCCGAAACTCTTCACATCTAGATTACCAAAATCTCGAACTTCAGAAAATCCAGAAAGATCCAGAAAGACCTGGTTATCCTGACAGCGCCCAGCAGGGCCAATAATGAGCCCCGCCGTCAACGCGTGTTAACAGAACGTGCAACATGTCAAAAGCGCACAAACCCTCGGGACGAAAACCAAAGGCTGGCACGTTTTGACGCCCCGCATATTGAGCCCGACCGCCCGCTGGCAAAACAACAGCAGCGATAACTGCCTACACACGAGTGTTTCAAATCTCTTGAAGTTTCCTGTCCAAAACTCTAGCTGACCGTAACGAGACTCCCGCCGATTGCTATTTTACGAACGCAATAGATTGAACGCAGGTTCGAATCAAAGTTTCGCAATCTTTTCTACGAACAGAAGTTGCCCTCAATGCAAGCCCCAGCCCCCGCATGAAAAGAAACTCTCCATCACGCAGAAATCTGCTTTTGGTCGGTTGCGAGCCTCTTCTGATTGTGAGAGGAACATCTGAAAAGTGAGAGCTCACTGCTGCGCTGAAGGGGATGTTGAGGTCTGTGTCGAAGTTGGAGAGGACGTCCCCCTGGATCGCCGACCCAAAGAGCAGGAAGCCGAAGGAGGCCGTCAGCAGGTACACCGCTGTGCACATGCCGATGGATGCGCGCACCACGCGCGCCATGCGCGCCTCCGAGCGGTCCCGCAGCTCCACGTAGATTGGATGCACTGCGGCGCAGCGAGAAGCGGAGAAAGTTGAAACTTCGGGGAAGCTGACAATCTTGACTAATTCACGGGTCGGTTTTCGGAGTAAGAAGTGGACAATAATGGGCTGCGGGGACATGTAAATGTTGCAAAGGTTTACGAGTTCATTATTAGCAGCCTGGGGGACGCTGTCATGTCGCAGCACGATGAATCTCGTTTGGCACTTGTCGTGCGGCCATATTAAGGTTGTCTCACCAAAATCAAGCGATTTGCCTGCCGCCTACCAACATGCGAGGAGCTTTCAAGGGGTGGGCTGCTCGACTCAGAGCTTCAACGGAAGAGCCAAGGCCATGAGCCACCTGTCATGCTCACTCAGCTCTTGCATTGATGGTTGATGACGACGACACATCGCGGACTCTGCTTCATAAGCGCCCGAATCTTCGGCGAAGTCGGCATCAGATGGCTCAATCAGTCAGCAACTGAAAGAACCAATACGCCTTGTACGTATTTGCCAAGGCTTTAAGGCTCTTCTCCGAGAAACCGTTTGTAGTTAAGCCGTCTCCTGAAGCCTAGGAATATTTTGGGCTCACACGGAGTACAAGCCTTCTGATTCTTCCGTGAATCGACTATAATCACATTAGGCTCACCGTTGAAATGGCAGACGAACGCGTTCGCCATGACCGGCACCACGGAGCAGAGCTGCAGCCAGTCGTGCCACGTGGCAAACGCCGGCAGCAGCTGCGGCAGCCCGATGCGCCCTTCCGCCAGCCGGATGAGTGTAACAATGATCAGAATCACCACGAACACCACGGCCAGCCCGAACGCAGCTGCGCTCGTGTAATGCAGCGAATCTGCAAACGATGAGTGAGTGTTTAGCTTTGAGCGAAGCGGGTTCTTTGAGCGGGGGGTAAGCATGTCCAAGTCCTACATTGATGCGAGTCACGAAGATAAGTTAGCGGGACAAGCGGACTGGGGGGAGAGCGGCGGATGCGAGGTTCGTGTAGTGCAGCGAATCTGTGAGGGATGAGCAGGCGGTTAAAATTGGAGGAAGTCACTCTCGGGGGGGCGCAACGCATGTGCGGGTTGTGTAATGCGCCAGGTCTGCGAAATTGGTTAGCAGGTAGGATTAGAAGAAGCAGATCGGAGGAAGCAAGACACAGCATGCGCGGGTTGATCAACGATTGACAGAGAGTGTCTGGAGACGAGAGACAGCCCCGCGTTCCGTCTGAGGGCTTCAAAGGTATACAAGCTGGCGAGCAAAGCGGAATCGGAGCTAACTCCGGACCGTTCTCCACAGGAACTAATGGGCATGCCTCCGACAACGCTGGGATGAAAAATTGGCCGTGAAAAGGGCAGGGCAATCGATCTTTGTCCTCACTCTTACTTTGGACTCTTCAACCCCCGTTATCGTGTGTTCCAGTGAATAAAGAAAGAGCTGACAAACCAACTAACGTTTCTGAGCTAGAAAGAAACGAGCCCCACCTGTGAGTTTCAGGCAGCGTACTTAACTTTCGGTCTATTCTCTTATCCTCCTGTGTTCCAGTGAACGAAGAAAAAGCAAATACACCAACCAGCGCCTCTCAGCTAGACCGAAATAGAGGCCCACCTATGTGTTTCTTCAGGTCTGATCTTCTCATGTGTTCTGAAAAGCAAAACAAAAGCCGGCAGACCAACTTAGCTAGACCGGAAAGAGCCCCACCTATGTGTTTCAAACAGCAGAGCGGCCCCAGCGCCGTCAGTAGCGTTACCAGAACCACCACAGTCCGCCCATTCCACCACCGAGCACCCCCCGCCCACTCCTCCAGCAAGCCCGTGTGGTGCTCGGAGCCCTTCCCCGACCCCGACAAAACGTCCGCTGCAACAACATGGAATTCCCAAATATGCTAAATCATTCATGAGAAGCGCAACTTAAAAAAATATGCGTCACTTGTAAGAGGACAACCTCCCTGGGACGGGTGAGTTTAGGGTGGGCATGGATGCGAAGCGGGTAAGCATTTGGGTTTAGTTTCAAATGTTGGGCTCATTTAAAGCATAGCTGGACTGGAGCTTACTTCAGTCTTCCAGAGTTTTGCTTTGATTGAGAGAGCGGATAAAGGCCGGGATTTTTGTGGGGTATCGAGCTAAGTTCGGTTCACCCATATTTGTCATGGGGGATGATACACTGAGAACAAGATGCCGGAAGAATGCAAAGCCAGTGAGTCTTCGTTGCGAAGTTGTCGAGACTGCGTATCGCATCGCCTTCCCGCATGACGTCAAGCTCTTTTGGCGCTGCCATCATACGATCGAATAAAAAAGTTTGAAAAAGGGTAAACAGCTCAAACCCTTTTTCACTTGCGTGGTGAGGTAAGAGGTGCCGGTTCAAATCTCGTTCTGCCCTTTGGTTAGAACTAGGAACAAGGCGTTTGACATGGGTAGCATTGCACTTCTCCTTCGTCGATTTAGGGCCTCACCAACGATGATGAGGTAAACTACGAGGATGCCCGTGTTGTTGATTATGACGGCAATCTGCAGCGCAAGGCGGCCGACGCGCGGGTACGCGTCCTCAAGAAGGTCGCTATACGTCCAGCACTTGCGCTGTAGCGAGTACTTGAGTAGCAGGTGGATCGAGTACTGCACAATGAAACACACCGGAATGGGCGGTCAGTGTTGTTGCAAGGGACTGCAAACTGGTGTCTTGTTGATCAAGAACCAAGAGCGAGACTAGCTTGCCTGTTCCGTCGTTAAGTAAGACAGTTGAGTTTGCCTTGGAGTTTCGCCAGAAACGTACGGAGGCATCACGCAGTGTGCATCTGACTGGACCCTGATACTCCTCGATGACCTTCGAAATGGCTGAAAGGTCTGCCTGGGTGACTTGACTTCAATGAGGGGCAAACCCAACCACTGCATGAGACCGCTTACACAATAGTACAGCAGATTCTCGATCTGCGGGGCCCCACAACCGCCGTGCCTCCCCAGTGCTTCCAAGGGGCTATGTTCGACAGCTTCATGCGCTGATGGACCCTTCGACAAGTGCCAGTGGTTCCCGGAAACTAAAGATTGTTTGCAACTTCGACTTCGACTTCAATCATCGAAGTTCGTGTCTGTGTGTAGCTCACAACTTCACAGGTACTGGAAACTTCCGCTGAGTTTCCGACAGCCTTTGTGCAATGGGTTTCCAGGTCAGGTCGATCTTTGCTCCGCGCTTTTGCCAAAGGTCCACTGGATTGCTTGCTATTGATTTGGAAAGATTCACCAGCGTAACTTTGGGCCCCTCCTCGCACAGAGGTACCGGGATTTGTTATGCCATGACCAGCTTGAAGCACTATGTGAAGAGGCACAATACTTTTACACACGCAGCAGCGGAGGTCAATTTACCAAGAATCGACCGACTGAGTTCTGAGCGGCTGGCCCAATAGACAACCGCTGCGAGAGCTGGTCTGTTTTTTTTCAACCTAAGGAACTTGAAAGGCAGCAGGAATTGTTAGGTGAATCTCAATCGAGCACCGGATGGCTGGGTCTACGTGCCCGACAACAAGGACCGTCTCCGGTTCAAATGTTTACATGAGGACAAAGAACCATCGCTGACCTGTGGCTGACAGAAGTAAGGCCTGGTGGCAGGGGTCCAAAAGCCATTGACCAATTCTCTCTTTCATTTCAAATATGTACAGACAACAGCAATTTCGTATGCGTCAGGCGACAGGCGACTCGCCATGGTGAGGCGCCCACTGGCACAAACTCTAATAGCCAACTTACAACGTCTCCCGCCTTCCCAACAGATGTAGAAGCATATACGTGTTTCCTTGGATGATTGGCCTTCCCAAGTGAGGCCCCCAATGGCACCAGATTAGGACCACTTGACAATCTCTGTCTCTCAAACTTTGTGAAAGGACCACTGTTGTCACCACTGTTGTTTCTTAATTCTTGTGAAAGGAGCATAGAAGTTTCTTCTGATAAGTGGCTCACCGCTGTGAGGGCCCCAATGGCCAGGATGATGAAGAGGCCGAGCGGAAGGCCCAGGACTTTCATGGTGGCGGGGAGGGCCATGATTCCCGCCCCCACAATGGTGGTGGACAAGTTGAACACGCCACTGCCACAAGATGGGAGAGGGGGGGGGCAAAGCGTAAGGTGATTTGGAGGGGGGGCAAAGGTTAGTCAAAGGGCCCGTTTGAGATCAAACATCGTAGGCAAGGGGACTGAGCCGTGCATTTCTATTTCCAAGGTGGTTCAGGAGTAATTGTGCGAAAAGAGAAGGATGACGATGCAGAGACTGCAATGAAAGATGACATGGAAGGATTACTAGTTTGTGTATGCTTTTCTTTGTGAAAGGAATGATTTGTTAGGGCCAGCTGGCGCTGGAAGAAAGGAGCCGAAACATTTGGAAAACACACCGAGAGAGAGCTCAGCTTTCTGCAGTGAACCTACAAGGACCCATCTTGAACTGCATTGCTCTTGCTGGCACGCTTATCACTGCGAGAGAGTGGAATCTGAGCAGTACCTTGAAATAGACGCCGTTCCACTATCTGGCAAGTCCGTGCCCTTCGTTCCCACAGGCTGCCCACCATACTCCACTTCAAGCGGCTCAAGAGCGTAGTGCTTTGGGAGCAGCGGAGACTTGTCTTCTTTCCGAGAATGATGCCCCGCTTTCGTGCCGGTTGCCTTTGGAGCTTCCCCATCCTCGTCATGGCGTATCTGGGCACCGGCAGAGTCGCTGATCAGGGCATCCCCGTCCCGCTCCATGGAGCAATGTAAGCTGTGGAGCAAAGTACTTTTCAAGAAAGATACCGTCCTGCAACAGAATTCTCAATTGCGACAACTGTATCTTAGCTGATTTTGACCACCTGGAAGCCAATGATCCTGATACGCTCACTGAACTCATACGATGACCAGCCCTGGGATTCGTTGGGCGTCTCTAACTCAAAGGGTCCACCTCTGCTCGTAAAGGGAGCGCCCTGCTGCAAGTCTGATACCATATGTAGATTTTGTCCCAGTGTGCAACAGCTGGGATGCATTGTTCCAAACCCTCAGGCTCAAGCAGCCTGGGACGGCTCTCGATTCGGTGTCAACAGACGGCTTACACTGCAGGAATGGATGTCGACACGACTTCTAGGGTTTCAGTCGCACCAATCTGACCTTTTTCAAAATTCTTCCACTGGCACAAGCACACAGAGCAGCATTGCATCCTGATTTGAGGGCAAGAAGCAACAAAGCAAGCAGCATGGCGTGCTCGCATTGTGCCGCACCATGGAGGGCATCCTTGCCCTCGGCTGTCTCGTCTGAGCTGCTCAATAGCAGCAGGACACGGAGGTGCAGAGCATACACCTCAGCGCCTCTTAGACAGAGCTTCTCAGGTTGGTTCGATCAATTTCCTGTGGCCACTATACGTCTATCTCGATGCATCTTTGAGGAGGAAATCACTGTGACTTTGCGCAGAGCCATGCCGTGTTGCACATCACAGCTGAATTAGGTTTTTGAAAGATGCCCTGGCTGATGTGGCTGTTCTTCCTCACATCTGGGCGCTGATGACACACACCTCGTGCAGATTTGCTAGGACCAGGGACCGGGGTGGTGGCGCCGCAACAAGACCGGAGGAGGTTAGTTGTATTAGCCGCTAAGAAAAAAGGGGCCCCTGTGAACAAGGCCGCTGCCGCCAAGAAGGAGAAAGAGGCGGCTGAGGCAGCAGCGGCTGCGGCGAAAAATGCAGCCCCATACACGAATCCGGACGTCTTCATGCATTCCCTCCTGCTCATCGACAGGTCATTCCCTTACCAGAAGATGGGGATATCTGATTGTTGTCGATACCATCTGGATTCTCTGCCAGTCCTTCGCTTCCTGTGTCTGGTGGCATCTGTCATGGTTCTGTGGGGCGGTCTGGCTGATGGTTGAAGGCTCAGCATAAAAGGCTCGCTCGAGCCTCCAGCAATCCTTCGGCTAGGAAGGACTTTCCATTGCATCTCCTGGTTCGGTTTCTGATGTTACAGCTCATCATTCCATTATTATGAAAACGTTTTGCATTGGCTGCTCGATGGATATCATCTGGCACGTTGGTCTTATAATCTGCCACGTTGGCCTTGTGATACGAGTAGTGCGCTGCGTTGGTGCAGTTACCGACGAGCTACAGGAAAGCCCCTCTTCACAGACCTCGAGTTGCCAGACTCAGGGCGGGCGCTGTTTGAGGCGCCGTTTGTGTGCATGAGTCATGATGGCGAAGAGGACCCCGTGTTCGATTATGGTATGGTACGGCCACTGGTCTTCATCAGAGAGTCCCCTGCCTTCCAATTCATGAGGGCACCGCCTTTGAAAACTCAATGATATGGTTGTTGCATGTTGTGATTGCAGATGCATTTAAGTGCTCAGAGTTCTCTGATCGTTCTTCGCTGCCAAATGAGAGATAGATTTGTCCAGAAGGAGCACCAGCTGGGAGTTAGATACTTCTTTTAGAAAGTGTCAGTGTTGGAACAGGGTCTTTACATTCCACGCGGTGTTGCTTTTCTTGCCTTGTTTCAGGGAACAAAGCGGCACTCGAGCTTTTCGAGATGACCTGGGATGAGTTCACGAAGATGCCAAGTCGGAAATCCGCTGCTTCAGATGCCCCAGAACAGGTTCGTGACAGCTACTCTGCTCTATCCTGTCCTGTTCGACCTTTCTTCCCTTGCTGTTCAGCTGCAGCGAGGAAGCGTGCACTGAAATTTGAAAACGATATGGGGGCTGGCAACAATGTTTGGGTGTCATTGCTCCGTCTGACGAACCGGTCGGACTCTGTTCACTCGTGATGCCTACTGAAAATCTTGCAAATACTTCCGACTCTGTTCAGTTGTGATGCCTAATGGATATTCTGCGATCGGTTCTGACTCTGTTCAGTTGTGATCTGAAATGGAGAACCCGCGTTGGTCCTGACTCTGTTCGTGTGTGATGCAGGAAGGTCGGAACCAGCTGCTAGCAGAAGCTCTTGAAAAGGTACGACGCCTCTGCTCGCTGCTTTGTCGTAGCTGTTGCACCTTGCAAAACTTGCGCTTCACTCGAGGCGTTGCTGTGACGGGGCGAAGGAGCCAAGAAACATTCAATTGAGCACTGTTATACGATGCCAGGGGGCTGGTTCACCTCCCATCAATTCCAGCTGTTGTCTGCGATAACCTCATAGAATCTAGAAAGAAGGCTTCTTCGGAGCACCAGTCGGCTGAGGGTCAGGAGAGCCAGCCATCAACAAATACATGCCCGTTTCTGGAGAATGCTTTCCACCCGCTGCCGCAACATGCTTCCCTTTCGCCGTCTAGGGTGCAATCGAGCTTCACGATGCACAGCGGTACACATCCACGGGCAAGCCGTTCATCATCCAAAAGGGCGTCCTCTGGACCATAACCAACCTTGAAGGCGAACGCCTGGGACAGGTAGGCCCTCTCCTGACGGCTCTACGCACATGGCTGTGGACACTCCGAGCGTGTCCCCAGTAGTTCCAACTTGATGTTGAGTGACGGCTATGATAAGTTCAGTTCATGCCCGGGAGACGGGTGGGTCTGGTTTGAGGTTTTGAATTGGGTATGGGTTCTTAGCATGTTAACTTTGGTTTTACTTTCTTTGAAGTTGGGAATTTGATCGAACTCAACATAGGCCCAACGTAACATCAAATCGTGAATCATTGTATCTCCGGTCTAGGCCGCTCCTTGCGATGCACCGTCTTTGACAAATGTTGGTGTATCCCCTGCGGTTTGCTGGCTTATGCGCATCTTACGATCATCGTGTCGGTGCCGGATTCGCCACTGCGTCACAAGTCAACTCGACAGGGACAAGTCGGACCTTCTTTCTCAATTCTTATAAACAAAAAGTCATGTACAGTGTCTGCAGCCTCTATCTGCTCGTGCTGACTGGTCTTGGGTTTCTACAGGCCGCCGTCTGCACAGAGATCGAGCACCCCGCGGCCAGTGCTTCGGCTGATAGCAAGCAGACGCTGCCCACGGCGCAAGCGTTGGATGGGACGACATCGAATGGGCCAACAGTAGTTTCTTGAGCTAGGTTTGAAGTGAACGCGGCTCGTCTACTATTATGCTAAGGTAGACTGTTTCTGCTACGTGTATGGATACTGAGGCACGCAATAGATTGCACGATTTGCACTGAGATTTTGTTACATGCCCGCACTTCGATTGTCTTTGAGTGTAAATATTGGTTCAAGGCCGGTCATCATACCACCGTGTACGCATCGCCGGATCCCCAGGCTGATCGGCATGGAATTACATTGATTGCTTAAGAACAGTTTGGTCAAATTCTCGTCCAATCATCCGATCTATCATATATGGTCGGATATAAATATAGACATATCATTGGCCGCCCTAGGCTAGAAACAGCTCGAACTCCAATTCAAGGCATGCCAGATCGGATGCATGAGCTCCATTTAGTCTGCTGGCATATGACAAGTGCACGCAATATTGTGCACCAAATCTTGAAAGCTATCAATGATGCTGGAAGATCTACGTAAGTATCTCAACTCTCACGATGTCTTTCGAGTTTGCAAACGCATTGATTGAGCGTTTGACCAAGTTGAGTCCTCCCACGACACTCATTGAGCACGCCTTGGCGAGGCCGTGTCACTTCGCCATCTCATGTTCAACAATGTTTACACTCGCTGGCCCGACCGACCTAATTTGTAACGACGTGGCGGACTCAATCATCAGTTTAGAATCTAATTTATTGTTACCTAGAAGAGTCTTCGACGAAATCATAACGAATTCTCTACATCAAAGCTCTACTTTCGAGGTTATGGTGTTCGTGACAATAACAACTTCCTGTCCTTGTTCTCTGATCTCATCAACAGCATCTATATGTTACAACCATATGTTAGCAACACTCGCCGTCAAAGAGAGTTACCTCCTATTAGTGCAACCTGTTGATCTGGGCTCCGAAGCTAGCATGAGAATGCTACCTGTAACTTAGTACAACCATTTTTTACAAGGAACTTCACCGTCCACCTCCATTGAGTCCAACAGTGAACCAACCGCAGAATGCGCCGCTCGCAGGCTCGCCTCGCTGACGACACTGTCTGGCGTCGCGCGCTCGTTTCTCTCTCCAACCCGCAGCCGAGGACTCTGCGACCCGCCTCGACCGTTGCACGCCGTTGGCGACGCCAGGGCCCCGGCATTCCGAGCACTGCTTGGCGAGCTCAAGGCTGGCGAGCCCTGCCTCGACGGTCCGCGTACGTACGGTACGGAGCCCGGAAAACCAGGGGCTGTGCCCGTGACGGCCCGGCTGCTGGCCTCCCAGTGAGAGGTGCTCCTGGCCGGATTGCCGTGCACGCCGACTTTGATTCCGTTTCCAGACGGCACCGTCTCAGGCAGCGCCTCCTTCCACGGTTCTCCGCCATCGAGCCCGCCCTGCGCTGCGGCCGACACCCTCAGGACCTCGGGCCGAGATGCGAAGCTTGGGCTTAACACCTGCGACACTGCCCTGCCGGCCAGATCATTCCTCGACCAGTCTCCGTTTCCCTTTTCGCGCCCGCTCAAAATCCCTGCTTTCTCTCCGTTGGCGATTGGCGGGCTCGCCCTGACCGGCGTTCCGCTGGCGCTGATTACCGATCCCGGAACACTCCTACCGTCCAATGGTCGGCGACCGTCCGGACTTGGCTCCTCGACGTCTTCTTCGCTCCACTCAAAGGCCTCCTCGGCGGTCTGGCAGAGCGTACGTCGCCGTTTGAACCCTTTCCGCGGCACCTCGCTCCGGACAGCCGCGGAACCCTTCGCGGCAACGCCATCGCCCACAGTACCACCGGCGCGGGTTGTCTGAGCGTGAGGCTGAGTGGCGTCAGCGTGTGGTTGCGCCTCTACTGATTCGGCCCGGTCTCGGCTTTTCGAGCCCGTCCCGTCGAGCTCTGCGCTCGGGTCTCCGGCCCCGCTCCCTCCAATCGGAACACGGGGCTTGTTCGCACCTTCTAAACGAGCACCTCCGCTGTCAAGGGTGCCCACGGGAGGTGCAGCGGCCGCCGAGTGCGGCGTTGACGGTTTATTTCTGGCCACCAGTTCTGACGCCTCGAATCCTGGAGCGGCTTGGAGCGCGGCGACCGGTCTCGGAGGGGACTCCGTGCCTTGCAGCGGCTGAAGCTTCCCCGCTGGGCCGCTCTCTGCCGGAACACCGCTGCTTCCGTGCAGAACTGCATGACGATCTTCGCTGCTAGCTGCTATCCCTGTTACCATGCCGCCGGGGCTACTACTCTTGGGCCTAAGCGTGCCTGTCACCTGTCCGTTCCTGCCTAACTCGCTGTCTGGAAGGGTTATGCGCAAGGCCCCAGTGCCAGTGACCGGGGAGGTTTCTGTCACGGCTTCGGAAACCCGCCTCGGATAGGCTGCTGAATCCGCAAGATCTATGTTCACTGGGGCCTCTCCATTCCGGCCTCTGCTGGCGTCTTCCTCAGGCGCCAGTCCCGGGAACTGTTTCTGGGGACCTCCGCTTTGAGCTCCCGTGGCTGGACATGGCATCGTGCTGACGTGTCCAAAGGGTTGGGGGCTCGGGCCGGGTTTTTGGAGGGGCCTGATGACGCCCACGTGCCTAGCTTTCTTAGGGGCGGGCGCGCGCAAAGCGCACAAGGGCAGGTCTTCGTCAGAGTCGTCGACCGCAGTAGGCCCCCCAGCCGCCAAACTCGAAGGAGCCGATTCGCCCGGCGCCTTTGCGGAGCTCTCTGGCTGCGCCGTGACCGCTCGTTGTAGCCCAACACCTGGCACAACCTGGGCTTCGGCACGTGGCAAGGCTGCGGCTCCGTCCGGACCGCGCCGGACTTCCACACGCCCGCCGTTCTCCAACGACGCAGCCGCTGCACTCGGCAGCTCGCCCGCAACATCGCCAGATGGCACGTGTCTCTCCGCCAGTGGTTGCTCAGACTGCCGTTCCAAAACAATAGCAACCTCCCCTTTCCTGGCCACTGTTGGTTCTGGCCCCCAACTGCTGGCCTCTTCACTTGGCTTCCCATCCTTCTTCTGCTTCTTCACCCCAGAGTCTTGCTTGTCTTCCGAGCGGGCCCGTTTCTTGAACGCTGAGGGGGGCAGGCTGCCCTCTCGCAGCAGGTAATTGAATTGGCGCTCGGTAAGGTCTGCGTAACCCTGCCGCTTGACCCCCTGCGAGCGGCGCCCGCGACCGAGGTCCTCAGACGCGCCCACAGAACCGCTCCTGCAAAGTACAAACCTTCCTGTTACTACTGCTTGATTCGATGATGGCAATCATCGCGCAACGGAGACCCGGATTAGCAGAATGTAAACACCTCGTGGGAGAGCATGAAGCAGAGGAGCCGCTCCAGACAGATTTTAAATCGAAGCTGCACGAAAAAGAGCACAGGTTTAGCTGCCCTCCCTCAGATGTCACCTGTGCCATCTCCTCCATTTCGTTGGGAAGGTCTTAAGGCAACTACAGGTCTCATTGCAATCCGTCAAAGAAAGCTCACCGGCTCTGCTCTGCGTTAGCCCTCTCCAACTCCTTCAGCACCGGCTCGAGCTCCGCGTCCGTGACCAACCGGGGCAGCACGCCGGGCATTTCGGCTGACCCTTTGCTGGCACGCCACCTGGCCTGGTCCTCCCGCTGCCGCTTGCGGTCTTCCGCCGCGAAGAGCTCAACCTCCTCGGGCCTGCAACGAAACGAGGTTTGAAGTTCGGCTCGGAGTTTTGCAGGCGGACTACAGAGGTTTTAGCGGGCAAAAACAGTGTCACAACCATCAGATCTGCCTGTGACATTTTTCTCTGCACATTCAGCCTCAGGCAGTCTGATGGCGTTGGGACACGGCTCCGGATCTGCATTGGGTTGAATTCGGAGAGACCGCTCGGTAAAAGGATCTGAAGCGTTCAGTTTACGACGTCAAAAGGTATATGATAGCCACACCACTTTGTCCTGTCCCCCAGCCATTTCAACTTTCTGCGATCCGCCTGATCAAAGAAGCAGTGGTATGCGATGGCGTGTACTGTTCAAACGAAGAGGGCAGCGGACCAAGTCGGCATTAAAGACGTCTGTCGTCCTGATTGCCTTCCTCAGACACAGCACCGGACAGTAGCAGGACAGAAGCTTGCGTCAGCCGGATGCTAAGAGCGACTTCGCTGTGCGCAGAATGCTGCTGACGCGAAACCCTTAGAAACCTTAACCCTTACATCAATGATGCTGCGAACACTGAGAAATGCTCTGTGAATACTCAGGAAAGAAACAACAACTCACGTGCGGGCAAGCATCTCGTTGAGCTGATCATCATCCGGAACCTCGCTCGACTCCTGCCGGTCCGAGTTCGCCTCCCGAAGAATGGCCTCCAGGAAGTCACGGCGGTCCTCGGCACTGTAGAGAAGGCCAAATATATAGATGGCAGAACTTGAAAGGACGCTGAATTTAAACGTGTCCGCACTTTGCGCTTTTAAACCGCCTAAAGACACGCTTACGAGCTGTCCCACAAAATTGCAAAACGAGAACAGGAGCGAGCTGATCACTCGCTATGTAGAGAAGGATTTAGGGTCCAGATGGTAAAACTCTCCGAATGTCCACCACAAACGTATCTCCCAGCCGTGTGATACTGTCAATTCAACGTGCATGCCAAACAACCAAGACAATTGACGATCAGAAAGAGATTCATGTAACGATCTATAAAAACAAAATCTGCACCCACCTCACTTAAATAGTGATCGCATATGCTAGTAATCTCACCTCGTGCTCTGGTCAAAGAAGCCAGCCGTAATGCTCTGTGTGGCCACACCCATCTTGTGCTCAGCGCGTGCACGAATCTTTTCCTCGACGGTGTTAACCTGCCAGTTCGAGTTTACTCGTCAGCAAGGGGAATGGGAAGGCAGGAGGGAAAGTGTGGAGACGAAAGACGAGACGGGTAGAGGTCGCCGCTGGGAGAAATCTAGGACCCACTAGGCGGGCCGGATCCTGACACTGTCGTGCCCGCTTTTGAGTCAACATGCGCCATACTATTCACCAAGCTTTATCCAACACATTGAAGTCTTCACAATTCTAAAAGCATGTCAACAAGATTCGATTGGGCTTAGTCGTGGGGACATCCTCCGAAACAGGTTCTCTACTGAAGTAACTGAGGACGTTGCGCTTTGCTTGTGCAAGCAAATTCTGAATAATCTGCCTCGAGATGTCTTCATTGAGAAAAGCAAATGTACAAGAGCTCATGCTAACCGTTTCCATCCGCAGCACAAGGACGTCTCGCTTCTGCCCGATCCTGTGGGCACGGGCCTGGGCCTGGAGGTCCACCTGCGGGTTCCAGTCCGTATCGTAGATGATCACCGTGTCGGCCGCCTGCAGGTTGATCCCGATGCCGCCAGCCCGCAGGCTGCACAAACGAGGCCGAGAAAATGGTCAACGAGAATTTTCATACATGGTCGAAATCCTCGGAGCCATGTAAAGGCGGCCACTCGTGTACTGCGTGGCAAAATTGTACAAGCAAAGGTCTAACCTTCAGAGACCAGGGGCTTTTGCGTGTCTCTCAGAGAAGAGAAGTTCTGATACCAATTTTGAATGCTAGAGACCGCGTTTCGCCGTACGACACACTTGGTCGCGACACGATCTAGCCCCTTGAAAGGCTCACAACGAAACGCTCCGGCTGTCGACAGTCTTGACATAGCAGTCAGGCTATCGAATGAACCTCCCGTCGTATCCCTCACCTCAGTAGGAAGATGAAGTCTGAAGAGTCAGGCGCGTTGAACTGCTCGATGAGGGTACCCCTGTCCGCACCACCGGTGGACCCGTCCAGGCGCAGGTAGCCGTAGCCCTTCTGGACCAGGTAGTCCTCCATGACGTCGAGCAGGCGAGTCATCGTGCAGAAGAAGAGAACCTGCGGAAGCGCAGCTTGGGTCGGACATCTTGTTTGGAGAGGAATGGGATACGAAAGGGAACACAACCTGAAGAGAGCGGAACACCATGGTCGAGAGCTGTTTATGAGAATCGGCACAATCAAATTGCCTGATGAAGCCCTTTGCTCACAGGTCCTCTTGCTTCAAAAACAATCTTCAGCTGCACAGAAGCAAGAGCTGCTTACCGTGTAAGAATTTGTATATGACCTCGCTACGTCTTGTTCGGCCCATAATAATTGGAAGACGGCCAATCGTCCTAGGAACTACTGCCGAAAGCTGGCTATCCTAGTTGTCCTCCAACGGCATACAAGAAGGCACCGGCTACTGACTCTCTCTCCCAGTCGAGAACGCAAAGGACCTTGCTGCTCCCTGCGAAACATTTCTTTTAAGATTAGCCAACGAAACTTTACCTTGTGCCCTCCAACTTTGAGCTTCGGCAAGATCCGGTCCAGCATCTCCAGCTTGCCGCACAGGCGCACGGCCGTTGGCAGAAAGTCGTCCTCCAAGCTGTACTCCACCTGCCCACAACCACAAATCAGAGCGTCAGACAGTGAGAAACTCTCGGCTTCGAGGTATTTCCCCATTTAAGCAGTCTTCTCCCCGGCTTTGCCTCCTTGTCTTCCTGAGTAAGGTTGGAAAACCTGGCTCTTTGTCAAAAGAGCCTATCTCAGGCATCAAGTCGATAGTCGGATCGTGACATATTTTTTTGAGGGCAAAGAGGGCCAAGAGTGTTGAAGGAATCAATCCCGTAAGCTTTACAATGGACCCAACCCATTGCGTCGAAGGAAGGCTGGCCCCTTTTCACCACCTCACACAAGAGAAGTCGTATTCTTACGTCTTCGACGTGCAGCAAGCTCAGGTAGGGGTGATTGCAGATGTTCCGCAGCTCCATCACCGTGTTCTGCACCGCTTTGCCCTGCGGAGAACCAAGCCCATCAGATGAGCTATAAGGTGAATAGATCCGGCCATTTCAATCGAAAACGATGCTAGCTTTGCTTGATGCGAATGCGTTCAGTATCAGGAACAACCGAAGCCACTGTCATTGACGAGATGGTGGATGAAAGCAGGATGACCAGCGCTTTAACCACTCTGGCCAACTGGCCGCTACAGATACTCAAAAAAACCACAAGATGAAGCCGAATGGGATGCGCTGTGAAGTGCCCTGCAGCGCACCTTTGATTGTCCAGGAAGGCGCCCCAGCTTCTCGGTGACCTGCCTGGCAAGCAGCTTCTGGTAGGCCGACGCTTCGCAGCGGATGAGGCGCTCAACTTTGCCGGGCAACTCATCCGCAACCTGCAGGACACAATTTAAAAAGCCAAATCTTTTGACATGGCGGTCGAGCAGTTCACTCTCTGCAGATACAAGCACTTTGCATGATAAGCTTCAGCGCAACTGCAGACATCAAAAAACTCAAACAGACGGGATGTATAGAAGGGGCAGCTAAAGGTGTTCTGAAGTAGTACGCAAGACAGAGGAAGTATTGACAGTCAGGGGTTTTACCACTCATGACATTGGATGCTGCGAGCCACTGCGCATACATCTTTTAAGAGCCAGCTAAACTCCTCAGCCGTCCGAACCCTCCTCCGTTTTTTATACCGGTCTAACCCCAAAGTTGTTGCAAGAGAGGACTGAAACCGAGCCCGCTCCTACCACGGACAAAGACTCTGGCCTGCTCGTGCTCACCTTCTCTTTCATTCGCCGGAGCATGAACGGCCGCAGCACTTGGTGGAGCCGGTTGATGACCAGGAGGTTCTCCTCCTCGTTCAGCAGTGCCTGTTGCAGGAGGTTTTGGACACGTCAGTATTGCCAAAGGTTGTCAAGAACAAGCAGGCCAGAGCAGCTTTCTCTTGGAACAAACGGAGACAGAAGGCAGAGGCCGGAATTGGTAGTCAGGACAAAGAGGAAGTTTCTTCCGCATACTCCCGTGGGTTTTTTAACATCGTGATACCATTGCACTTTCATGGATACCTCTGGAAGCTCGAGATGGGACTATAATGACACGCAATCATGGATACCTCTGGAAGCTCGAAATAAGACTATAATGACACGCAATCAAACAACTTTCCAGCGTCAAGGCAGGACGAGAGTTCAAAAAAGGGGTACGAAGGGCTTGCCTGGTCTTCCGTTTCCTCGACCCCGCTCCCCTCAAAGGGCTTGTTGAACCATTGCCGAAAGTCGTCCGAGGAGTTGAAGATGTCAGGCAGGAGGAAGTTGAGCAGCGTCCAGAGTTCGTCCAGGTTGTTCTGCAGTGATCGTATACGCTGGTGTCAGCATGTCAATTCCAAATCAGATCCATAGGCAGCGTAACCCTTTCCAAGCATTCTCACTACATCGATACCGGCGCTTACTACGAGAAATGCAGATGAAGCAAAATCTGCTAACTTAAGCTGTGCGTCAAAGCAACGGGCTTGGGCAACTTGTTCGAAGAACCGGTTCGTCCCCCGTCTGCTTTAATCCAACACACGCACAAGCACGTGCTGTACGATGTTATGCTTCTACCAAAGGAAGGAGCATTCCCTCCTACCTGGATTGGCGTCCCCGTCAGCAGCAGCCTGTTTCTGGCGCTGTACTGCTTGAGGTCCGTGTTCAGCTTGCAGTTGGCGTTCTTGATCCGGTGGCCCTCGTCGATGATGAGGTGCGCCCACCTGATCTTGCTCAGCCGCGGCCGGTCGTGCTTGTTCATCAGGAACTCGTACGTCGTGACCAGAATGTTGAACTTCTTCGCCGCGACCTGCTCGCTGCAGTGCATATTCAAGTCTGTTAAGCGGTGAATCTGTTGAAGGAACCTCGTACGATTGAAGGGAAACATAACGCGGTATGAGCAGGGTCCCCAACAGTCCCAAAGGACTTTTCGTATCCAAGATGGTTTGTGTGCCGAGTGCTAACCTGTAGATTCGCCTCCTAGTTTCAGGGTTGCCCCTGTAGGCCACTGTGATCGCCGACGGAGCCCACCGCTTGATCTCGGAGACCCAGTTGGAGAAGACGGAGGAAGGCACCACGATCAGGAATGGCCCCGACACTTTCTTGGTCTCCATTAGGAAGCAGAGAAGGCCGATGACCTGCATTAAAGATTGGCAGATCGCTTTGGCATAAGAGAATTCAGCACGAGGTTTTACGGTCTTTCAGTCATCTACGTAGCGGAATCTTTGTTTCCCTTCTATTCAGTCAACTAGACAGCACCCGCTGTTGCAACGTGAACCCTCTCAGAAGCTAGGAGAGAGCTGACACTTGTGATTGCGCACAGCAACTAAGCACATCAGCGCCGTTGTAAGCTGCCATCACACAATCTCGTCAGAAGCGCACTTTGCAAGCAACAAACCGATAACGCTCTTTTTGTCGCTTCACGGAGCCCACCTGTATCGTCTTTCCGAGGCCCATCTCGTCCGCCAGGATGCCGTTCAGCCTGTTGTTGTGCAGGGAGACCATCCACTGGAGGCCCTTCATTTGGTACTCGCGCAGCTGGCCCCCGACCAGCATCTTGGGCTGCTCAATCACGGCCTCCTTCACGGCGTGAGCCAGAGTGTAGTACTTCTCGTTGCTCTCCAGGATCGACTGCAGAGGATCCGATCGAAGGTGAGTCCTGTCCCCATTTTCACAGCAGTTGAAGGCGTATCAGGTACCTCGAAACAAGCGTTTGGTACATCCCATTCAAGGTGCCTGCTTTGAACGTGGACGAGTCTCCGCCGGACATCAATCCTCGTGACGCTGTTTTGAGGACAATCTCTTGAACCTCTGGCCCCCATCGATTCGTCTGTGCCGAAACCGAAGCTTTAATAATACCAATAGCGAGAACAGCGCACCCGTGTTTGTTTTCAGAAATGAACAGAAGGCAGAGGAGTTGCGAACTTACGGCCGCAGCTTCGTCCGTCGTTTTGACCAACTCCTGCTCGGCTGCCACCACTCCCTCTCCAACCTCCGCTTCCCTGGCCTGCATGGTCACGGCTGCCAGCTTCTCCCCCAGCTTGTGCAGGTACGACTCCGTCTCTTTCAGCAATTGCTGGACCCTGCGATTGAAAGACGGGCTCGGTCTGCATGACGTCACGCCCTGGCAGAAAGGTCATTAAGGACCCGTTCAAGGGCTTTGAACTAATCGTCGTTTGCTATGGAAGGCAAAAGCGCTGCAGGAAACCCAAGAATTGAAGCAAGCCATCACCTACGACGAGGAAGAGAACACCGACGACTGGAATGTGAAACCAGAATCGTAGCCCTTTCATTCGTACATTCTTAAAGACCAGATCCTCGCACAGAGAGTAAGTACCAGGAGGTGGAGCAACGGGTTTTAGGCGACAGCCCTCAGCAAGCGCTCATTTCAGGTGTGCACAAGACAAGCACGGACCTGTCGGACTTGGCATCCTGCACCAGCTTCATGTACCCTTCCACGTCGTTCGACTTGAGAGCCTGGATCTTCTCTCGCTGCAGGCGCTCCTTCTTCTCCCTCTCAGCCCGTTCCTTCCGCTTGTGGAACTCCGTGACTGCTCGGTTGTTCCTCAGCACCCGCTCCTTCTTGGCCCGCTGAAGGTCAGCCAGCAGAGCCCTGCACTCAAATTTGAGACCGGTTGAGAGACTTTGCTGCAACCTCCCAGGTCGTAGAAACGAAAGTCTAGAAACGAGGACTTGGTCATTTCGTAGAAATAGAAAGTTAGCGTCTACACAGTATCCTTCACTCAAATCATCGAAAGAGCCGACCGAAAAGGTTGCGAATACGAGCTGAAAGTCGAATTTTTGAGATCGTCGATTACGCATATCCGCTGCTTCAGACTTTAAACTCTGCCTGTGCGGAAGAGCACACTTTCACGGTTGAGGAGTGACGGGGGTTGCGCTTCTTGAAGAATTCATTACTGAAGGGCACTGCGAGCATGACGGAATGACTTGCTTACTTGTGCTGGTCTAGCGTCTTTGCGAAGTTCTTCACTTTTTCCTTCTCACGCCTCGCCCGTTCGTCCCGCAGCTTTTGCTCCTTTCTCTCCGCTTCCCGGATCCGTCGCAGGCTCCTCTGCAACTTCACCTGGCGGACGTTTTGGAGCTCAGCTTGCGCAGGAGCGAAGAAGCCGTCCTGCAGATGTGAGAACGGGTCAAAGATCGTGCGCTTTTCTGGTTGCATAGACACTATCAAGTCCTCCCTGCATCGTTTTCAACAGCGGGTCGATTGGTAATTCAAGGGATGAGCTGCGTGAAAGGAGATACATGTCTTCAATCATTGGAAACGAAGCGTTTGCTTCATATCGAAATGACAAGATGATTCATGATTGACTGGATGCTCTGAGCAAGATCACAATATCACGCCACCGGCACTCAGGTCAACAAGCACCATCAGCAGGTTAAAAACCAAAAAAGTCTTGATCCAAGCATTTGAGGAGGATAATGTCTGACCCTTAGATGTGGGTCAGACAAGCTTACCATCACCTCCTTTCTCAACTTCTGTTGCAACGCCAACAACTCGAGCTTCTTCAGGTCGATGACCTTCTTCGTCTTGCAGTCGTCCTGAGAAGGGACCGCCTCAGCGCGCTTCACCTCCGCAGTTTTGACAGCAACATGCTGGACCAACTTGGTCTGCAGCTGCGACCACTTCGCACTCTCGGCATCGCTCTTCCTCTTCTCTTGAGATAGCCATGCGGTCATGAATTGCGGTTTCCTTGTGTCGGGAGGTTCGGGTGGCACCAGGGTTTGCGGCATCTTGGGGGCTTTTGACTGTTGAAGAGGCTCAGAGGCGGGTCGTGCTTGTTGGGGCAAGCTCTTCCGCGAGGTTTGAGGGGGGTTTTGAAAGCCCCCTGGACGACTTAGAGCCCCGATCGGAGGGCTTGGCTTTCGGATAGCTTGGATTCCCGGACGATTCGATGCTGCGTTCTGGTGCTGTTGAGGCGCTTGCCCCCCAGCTGCCGCAGACTTTTTAGCCGGACCTGCAGGAGAGGAAGCAACTCGATCAGTTGTAAGTCTTCCCAGACTTCGTTAATATTGAACAATGTCTCGTGCCTTTAAGCAGCCTGCCTTCGGCAAGTCGGGGCTTTTGAAGTTACGAGCATATGGCTTCCCTGCGTAAACTTAGCACACAGCGTAAACAGGAAGCTCGATCAGGGAGCACAATCCTCCCCCTTTAAAGCCCGAACACTGTTGGCTGGAACAGTGGGGGGAAAGGCAAAGTCTCACCTCCTGGTTGCTTCAGCGGCTTCTCCGTCTTCTTCCGTTCCCTCCCTTTCTTGCCCTGCTTTTCCTTCTTTTCGACCCCCGTAAGTGGCTGCTTGACACCTCTCCCGGGAGCTTTCGCAGCCTCTCCTGGCCCCTTCGTATCCGCCCGTTGCAACGTCGACAGCTTCGGCAGCAGATCTTTCAGATCTTCTAAAGCCAGGGCAACAGTAGCCTGGCTCGAGGGCTTGCCGTGCCTCACGTTCTGGAAAATTTGTATTTGCGCTATCAGCTGCCGCTTCTGCTCAGGCAGAAAGCACTCCGGAACGGACCCCGCTTTCGACAGCTGCTTCACTGTCTCTGCAACTCTTAGCAGCTCCGGATTCGTGTTGCCTCCGCTCGCCAACACCGTTTGCGCTCGCTTGTGGACGCATACACGCACCGTCTCGGCAACTGCATCCGAGGGAGTGGTCGTCACAGGAGGTGGAGTACTGTCAACTGGCAGTTGCGGTTTGCTGCTTACAGGCTGACTCCTTGCGGGAGACTTGTTCGCTTGCCGTTTGGCTGGGGCTTGGCGGCCAGGCTGGCCGCTGTTTTGTTGCAAACCGCTCCTGCCAGGCGCTTTTGGCGGGCTTCTATATGGCCCCTCAAAGTGATAACCTGGATCAGGCCCGCGTTTCAAGTGGTTGCTGCCATGGGGAGACACCGACACAACCACCGCCGGAGCCCTAGCTGGTTGCAAGGGGGGACTGAACAGAGGGCTCGGCGGAGCACCCCTGTCCGTGGTCGAACCCCTTGGTTCCGCCTTCTCGGCAAAGGCAGATGAACTGGGCAGCTCGTGGGGGGAGATGGGGATGCCGCTGTTGATCGGTGATCCATGGCTCGTCGGAGGGATGTTGAAGAGCGCTGGACTGCTTCTGGGAGGGTCTCGGTGGGTGGAAAGGCCAGGGACCTGAGAGGGAGGCTGCTGAAAGGACCCCTTCCGCTGAGGAGAAGCGCTCCTGCTATTGTTGAGTGCTTGCTTGACGGGAACGGAATGGTTGGGAGGGCCTGGACTTTTCGGGACGGGCCTACTGGACTGGTTGAGCAAGAAAGCCTGCTGTGACTGGAGAGCAGCTTCACGAGCCTGGAGTGTTGGACTTGGCCTTGGAATCGGATCCCTACTGAGAGAAATTGGCCGAGTGACAGAGGCCCCCAGCCCTGGAGGTGCAAACTGAGGGTGTGCTGGAGAACCAGAGAAACTCCTCCCCGGCTGCCCTGGTGTCTGAGATGGCTGATTGGCGGCGCTGCTTGCATAAGGACTGGCGGCTTGCACAGGCGGGGCTGCTTGCCAGTTGCTGAACCTGGGACTCTGCTGTGGGGGCTGGTAGGGGGGAGGCTCGCGAGGCAGCAGAAGCTCGTGGTTGCCATAGCTGGAAGGGGATGGAGTTCCAAGGGTGACAGGCAGTGGTCTGCTGGCTGCAACAAGATACGTCCGCAACATTCAGATCAAGCACAATATCTTTACAACAGAAGACCATGTACACTATGAAGATTGGCATACACGGCCCAGATTGAGCGGTCTGCAAGAAACTCGATGAACTCCTTAAGAACAATTCGGGCGGAAGGATCTGAACAAGACTCTCACTCCCTCAAACAACGGACTTGCAAAGGGGCTCAATGACTGACTCTACTTTCTGAACGAAGCGCGTAGAGGGAGTGCTCTCTTCAGAGCCTTAGTATCACAAGGAGACAACAGCAAACGCTCGTTTCCCGAGCCACTACTTCGTTTGCCACCACTACTTAGACTGAACCGCAAGGAGAGCAGGAAAAGAATTCGGAACGCAAAATTTCAAATAGCTGATGCTTACCAGGCTGCCTTAGGCCCTCTGACTGGACGAACTCGGGGATGAAGACAGGCCCATCCTCAGTCAGCGATCTCATAGACGAGCCCCCGGGGATTGCATATGGATCGAGTCTGCCGACCACCACCACGGTTCTTAGAGCACTGCATGAAAGAAGTGAGGTTTCAGTAACTGTCCCCAACTATGAACATCTTTAGTTGTGCTGGTCAACAGCAAAGCATAGTACGTAGAATGATCTGCACATTGCAGACTTTGTTTGGGAAGTTGTGTCCTTTTTAGTAATGTGGAATATAGTAAACACTTAGTGCTAACTTCAACCACTTCCCTTGGATTTGCAAAGAAAGGGAATGCATCATCTTTGTGACGTTGAAGTATCCTGTGCTATTCTTAACCCTGCTCTTGAAGATGGCGCTCTTCAGATGCAGTGGTGGCTCAGCCTACCTTGCAACGATGTTGTAAGTTTGCTGATTCTCCTGGAGTCCAGAATTTCGAAGGCTTTCACATATACGGGCCAGCTTCACAGCAAGGCCAGCAGGATCCTCTTGAAATTGGCCCTTGATTGTCCAGAGAAAGTTTGCCAGCTCCGCTGCATTTGCCTCAGCCATACTGTGACGGTGGTCACCCGCAACTTCAGAGTTCTTGCCCCTCCCTTGCTGCAGAGAAGCAAACCTTTCATTCATTGATACAATAAAATGGCAATGGATCGATGACTGCCTACATAGAGACATGAATGTCTATGTTACACCTCCACAGATCTCACGCTAGGGAAGGAACTGAGTACTGATTGATCCATAGTGGGGTGGTGCAAAGTTGAGGAGCTGACGAGAAGTCTGTTGAAAGCAGATGATACTATGTGTATTACGATCACTGTCAGCGACCTCAACCAGAGTGGCCAGAAGCAACTGATATTTTCAGTGCATTCCTTGTGCTGCTGAACTCAGGACTTCAGGACCAAAGTGCGGGAAACCAAACCAACCACCTTTTGCAGATACAGGCGAATAGCAATGCTGTCTGAATATAAGCCTATCACAAGTTCTGGATTCCAAAGCCGTGTCTTCTACGATTGGCCATGATTCTTTGAAAAAGATGATACTGTCATTAGAAATGATTAAGCAGTCGCCTATCGTCCCACCCCAGAACGGGGAGTCTTAACAAGCAGCTGAAAATAACACTGCTCATCACAAGGACGGCTCCGCTCACCAAGCCTAATAGCTACACAACGCACGTGACCCCTGGCCCTTCCCCTGCACTCTCGTCTTCATCAACCATGATCCCAGCCCGAGCAGACAGTCTATACATGAGCAGCCTCCTTCGCTGGAGCCTGTGGAGGGGGCAAGCGGAGAATTTCACACAAGTCGCCACCTTTTCAAAGCAGAGTCCATTTGCCAACACTGAACAATGATGATCATGAACACAGGTGCCTTCTGTGTTCAAAATTAGCGGTTAGAAAGCGGGTTAAAGGCAAATTCTATGAATGGCTTCATCGATCGCCATCAAGATGGGTGAAAGATAATCCGTCGGATGAGAAGGATTTGATCCTAAAGCCGTCGGATGCCGTTCCAGTTTGAAATTTCTTGCAGAGTTCGCAAGGTGCTGGTTATCAGGATTCAAAGCTATGCAAGAGCCTAGGCCTGCATTGGCAAGAGCCTTTTCGAGAGACGAGACTTCGTGACTTGGTTCTTGATTGTTAAAATTCTCAAGAGCGCCCTTGGGCCTTGAGGCTTGAAGCTGCCTTGAAACTTTCAATTGCATCGACTGGACGTTAATGCAGCCATTGGAGGCGGCCTTTGGAAACGTCCATGAGGAAGAGGAGCAGATGAAGGCGGGCTATCAGAGGCTGCAATCTTCCTTCCATGGAACCGATCGCTTGCCCAGACTTGTTGTAATGCAAGCCTCCTCTTCGACTTCCAATCAAATTGACGAGCGGTGATCACTCTACTTCCCAATGGATCCCGGCGAGAATGAATCCCTGGATCAACGAGCTGTCGCTGCTGCTGAGCTGGCCGAAACTGCAGAGGCTGCACCACTGTCGGTACAAGCTAGCGCGGAAAAAGATGCGAATGTAGCTACATTAGGTGAAGCGCAAGAACCCGTCTCAGACACGGCAGCTGCACCTGACTCGTCAGGTCCTTGCGAAACACGCAATTTACCAGCGAGCCTCTCCTCCAGGGGGGAAAGCAAGGCCCCTGCAAATGAGCCCATAGGTCATGACCCAACGGGGCCTTCTACACCTCCTCTGGAAAGGATCGCCTCACCTCCATCCCAGGACCCCAGTCAAAAGGACCCCCTCAACAGTGCCCGTTTGTCTACAGAACCCCAGGCCCCAGGGGATCAGCGCTCAGGCCCCCTGACAGATTTTGTCCCCCCTCCTATACCCCCCTTCAAGCAAAAGTCCTTGCCCACGGCCAAGCCCCCTTCAACCACTTACAGGGAGCGGAGCGCAAGGTTCAAGAGGAAGCGGCAAGAGAAGCAGACCGGCGCGCGATTGCAGGCTTTTCCCTCCGGAACTGCATACCCCTTCCACCACAGTTTCAGGGCCATCCCAGGGGAGAAGCTGCCTAACGGCCAGTCGCCGTATCCTGGAACCGCACCCCCCGGAGCCCCGCTTTACACCCCGTTGGTTGCCCCCCCAAAGGGAGACATTCTGAACGCCACCGCGCTTGCACAGCTCACCGGCACCTACCTAGGGTTCCCCTGGCTTTCCATTGCGGTTTCGGGGCCCCCAAATCTTGGCGCGGATTCGCAGGACGGCAGAGCGAGAAAGAGGCGCGCGAAGGGAGCGGATCCTGAAGCCCCCAGGATGATGGCAGACCGCGCCCCCTCCCCTTTGCTGAGCTTTGACACCGGGCGGAAGCCCCGCTGGAAGCCCGCCCCCGCGGGCTTCACAAAGTGTGCGGCGTGTGTGTGGTCGAGGAGGGCCACCGGATACTGCTACCTGAAACATGGTGGCGGCAAGGAGGGCGCCAGAAAGGAGCGTGCATCGGCGGATGACGGGGCATCTGAAAAAGACGCCGACGGTGATCGGAGCAAGGGGGATGGCGGCGGGAGGCAGGAGGGCGCTGGGGCAACTAGTGCATTGGGAAGTGAAGGGGCATCTGAAAAGGACGCCGACGGTGACGGGGGCGAGGGGGATGACAGCAGGGAGCCAGCGAAGAATGCGGACGAACGAGGGGTGTGCGAAGCTGGAGGCGCTGCTGGGGCCTCTGGACTGGCCCCTGAAAACACGATTGCCGGAGACAAGGTGAGCAGCAGACAATAATAGGCAATATGGACAGGTGACTATCATACAAACGAGAAAAAGACTGTTGAAAGGGCCTCTTCTTGGATGATGTTCCGTTGGGAGTCGAGTGAAATTCTCATTTACAGGGGCATCTTGCATCTGTGTTTGATGTCAGTGCTCGATGACGTGGGTTGCTGACTGGCTTTAAATTCCTAGGACTTTGTGCATGCTTTTTGGAGTGACAACACATGGTTGGGCTATGGGCCAACACTGTCCTTTTGTGCAAGCGAGTGCTGCTTGTCTTCAAATGTAAACGCTCGAAGGCCGTCCATCACAAGACGGGGGTTGTATTTCTTGATCTTGTTTCGATAGGGCAAAACGTTCTGAGCCTACATTGAGCCCTTTTGTTGGTGGTCAACGCATCAACTGAGCGTAAGCAAGCAAGAGAAAAACTTTTTCGAGGCCAACCTGGATTTGTTTCGTCTTGCCAAAGAACCATTTATACTGTGGCTTTGCAGAGCTGATTCGCGGATTGCTTCCAGGCGGCTTCAGATGGCGGATTCTCCCTCAACGTCTATCATGTCAAGTCACCTTACCATCTGCAAAGGATTGCTCTGCTGTTCGGTCCGCTTTGAAGTGACTGCGGCCTTTCTAGATTTTGATCCAACATCCTTCCGCCGAGTCCATCTGTTTTTATGTGTTGCAGGCTGCTCCGGACGAAGTCCCTGCCGAACCCTCGGCCAGCCTTGATGGAAAGACAGGCGATGATGATGCAACTGAAGCCCATGCGCCGGCAGATGCCGCGAAAGATAGCGAATCAGCGGAAGAGAGGGGAGACAAAGAGGCGAGAGAAGGTGGGTTTGCGGAGGGCGCCCTTGGAGAGGGGCTAGAGGCAGGAGGAACGGACGACGATATACAAAACGGGGACACAAGGGAGGAGCAAGTGACAGCGGATGGTGGGGCGGGAGGTGATGGTCAACGGGTTGGGAAGGACAGCGGGGGACGGCTTGAGACTGGAGGAGGAACTGACGTGGCAGGGAACAGCAACGCAGAGGGGAGGAAGAAAGCGCTGCAAAGTGGACGGCAGAACGGGGGAGAAGGGGCCAGGGGTGCAGAAAACGGGCAGCCAGTCACTGCCGCTGTGAGCGGGCAGTCCGGCACAGCTCCATCTGACCCCTTGACGGCTGAGCCCCAGTCCAAGGGATTAGAGGAGGGGAGGTCTCCCGTGCCAGCCGGCAAGACACCTGCAAAAAGTCTTCCATCCGTAGGCTTCAGCTTTCTGACAGTCAACGAGGCCCCCCAGGGGAAGCGGAAGGAGCCGGACAGCGCAGACGAGAAAGGGCCCGGCCGCCCGAAGCCGTGCAACGCGTGCCGCAAGGTGCGCAAGGGGGGGTGCGGCACGCCGCGCGCATACTCCGGGTGCGAAGTCTGGAAGCCGGAAGTGCGCGAGTGGCCTCGGAAGCGGGGGGAGGAACGGGAGCTGCGGCCGTGGCCGGCGCACCTCCCCCCCGAAGCGCACGCGCAGATCCAAACGGTCGCGGCCGACCCTTTGCGCGCTGACTCGGCCGCCAGCGCCGCGTCGAGAATACCGTACCTCTACTTCGGACGTTCGCCGAGCGGAATAGACCCCGGAAGCGAGAACGGTCTGGGCGTCAGCCCAGCTCCCTACAGCCGCCTGACCCCCGCGTCGTACCTCTCGCGGCTCAACCAGAGCAGCGCCGTTCCGTCTGGCCCCGCCTTGGTTGACCTGTTTGCCAAACCCCCCGCGAACCTGCGGGCGCAGATCAGCTCGGTTCCAAAGCCGGGGCCAGGCCCGCTGTCACAGCAAGTGTCGGAAATCTTCTCCTCTCCCTACGCGGCCCTCCGCTCTCACCAGCCAAGCCCCCCTCAACTGCCCCCAATTGCGCACCTGATCGATTTTCGCTCGGCTGGTTCAAATCTTGCCGGACACGGGGTCAGGATGCCCGTTCCGTCCGAGTATTTTCCCCAAGCACATGCGCCGCAAAGCGCCCCCAGCCGCTATGCTGGCGTTCCTGTCAAAGTACTGAACCCGAACGCGCGCACGCCTGACGCCAACCCCGTCGTTCCGCTCTCGATCCTCCCAGTCCAAATCCAGATCCCAGTGCTCCCCGTCTTTAGGAACCCCCCGACGGCGAGCATCGGTGCCCAGTTGCCCGCTCCAACGCTGAGCAGCAGTAACCAACCGCTTCTAGGTAGCTTCTTGCAAGGGCGGGAGGCGTTCGCCGGGGGGCAGCCGTCAGCTGACGTCATCAGAATCCGGGGTGGCGGACCTCGGCCCAGGAAGCGGAAGCAAACGGACGGAATGACGGGAGGAGCAGAGAAGAAGGCCCGGAACGTAGCTGCGAAGAAGGGGAGCGGAAAAAGAGACGGGGCTCTTGGAGAAGAAAGAAAGCACGAGGCGACCGCAGGCGGCGAGAATGATGCTGGGGCGAAACCAGAGGAGGCATCGGGGAGCAAAGGAAGGGGAGCTGCCGAGGAAGGGTCTTCTGGGGTGACGCCAGAAAGAGAAGGGCTCAGGCGAAGTAGTCGGGTACGGAAAGGGAGGGAGACAGGTCAGACAGAGGAAGCGCCAAGCAATCGACGGGAGGCACCAGGAGCAAGGGGGCGAAGCAGAAGTGCTGCCAAAGCGAGCACGGAGCGTTCAGAGGGGGCTGGGCCTAGCGGGCAGGGGGATGCAAGTAAGAAAGAAAAAAAGGGGGGTGGTAAGGCCCGGACGAGGAAAGCGGAATCAACTGTGGCAGGAGGCAAGAAAGCGACATCAGAAGGTGAGGCCAAGGGCGGGGGAAGGAAAGGCCGCACTACCGGAACGAAGAGACGGAAAAAGGGGGACGGAACGGGTTCTGGTGGGAGTCGAGCTGGCGGCGTGGGAACGTCAGCCGCAAAAAAAGCGAGGGGGGGAGCCAAAGGGAAGGGCGCTTCCGGCAAGGCACCCCTGATCGTCTTTGCGCATGGGGCCGGAGCGGGATCGTCCTCGCCCTTTATGCAAAGGTGAGAATGCCACATGCCGCTTCTGTTAGGTTGCTGGAAGGCGATCGAGGCTGCGGGGTCAGAGGACCAGGTTGCAAAGCTTTGAGCTTAAGATGTTGTGGTGAGGAATGGTCATGAGAACATTGGCTTGGTCAGAGGAGCCTTAAGCTGAACGCCATAACCCAAACAGTGAAGCCATGGTCCATCTTTCCCCTCAAGTATTATCAAAGTGTTCGACGACTCTTTGCATGGTTTTCAAAGAGGCCGGCAACTTGGCCCAGCATCGTAAGTGCCATTGTCTCTCCTTTTCAGAGATTCGAACAGCAAGAATCATGAGCCATAATAGGCAGCCAATATGAATCCCCCGGTCGTTGACTCTCTGTCGTGCAGCAAGTCTGCCGCAGATTTCTCTGACTGTGCACGCAGCAATTGTGAATCTTGTCAAGTGCTGGTCCTAAACAAAGCTAAGCAACAACTTATTCTCTTCCAGGTGGCGGGACCTTCTTAGAGAGGCACTGGGCGCGGTGGACGTCGTCACATTTGATTATCCCTGTGAGTTGACCCCTTTTCTGTCTGCCCGAAAGGTTTTGCTTTCCCTTGGAGACAAGCCTTATTGTTTGGCCTTCACTTTCCGCTTGGAGCAGACTTTGACCGACACCTTTGACGCCTTGCGTAAAAGTCGGTGGGAGATTTGTGCTTTGAAGTGCTTTCAAGTTAAGTGCTAGCATGAATGGTCGTTAGGTCGACCTGGCAAGGATGGAAGGACGGGCGTGTTGTCTACTGGCCGGGATTTAGTGCAGTGAACATCTGTTCGAAAGTCAGAGCCACTCAAGCTGTCTGCGGGTATTCCAACGCGTCTCACACTTGATTCTTGAGAAGTTCGGCCCCCTGACTTCGAAACTGATCTCACTTCTCGACCAAATAAAGAACCATCAGGTTTGGGCAGTACCTGGAATGACAAGCGGTCTGACCTAGAACTGATGCATGTATTTTTTTGCCAACCGTAGATCTGGCAAGCGGCAAGAAGGGAGCACCGCCCAAGGCCGAGAAGCTGGTCGACTTCCACATCGCGACGATAAAATCGGCGCAAGAAAAGTACCCGGGCGCTCCCCTTGTGCTGATTGGCAAATCAATGGGATCCAGGTGGGCACCTTATAGGCGCCCCCCACATTCCTTGGCGGCGTCGAATCCGCCAAGCGAGAACGGCGGCTTGGAAGTGTTTGGATGCTTACACGAGAAGCTGCTCGGCACTGCTTCGGGTCGCTTCAGACGTCGGGGCTTGAGAATTGACGACTTTGCCAAATTTTGGACTTGGAAGTGTGAAAGCGAGCAGCGGAGCAACCGGGGGGCTTCGTGACATACATGTTGGCTAAAATGACACCTCTGTCGACAATGTCTGAGGGTCAGATTTTTGCAAACAATCTCTGCAAGATAGTGCGCGCAGTCTACAGTTCCTATTACCACTGCGTTGGCAGCCCGTCTATGACCAAAGCGTTCTGGCACCTTCATCGCAAGCACACCAACTTCGACATTCACTATCTCTACCCCTCCTCCTTTCCACGCAGGCCGGTCTGTACATGTCATGTACTATTTGCGTCAACCTTGTCACTTCCCTTTTCACTTCCTGAGTTGTGGTCCGCAATCTTGAGCCGTCCGATCATCCCTGCCGTTGTCGATCAGACGGTCCACAATTGGGAACCATGCTGCGCGGGGCATCCAAAAATCCGATGGCTAGTCTGACGCAACAGCTATTTCATTTCGCGTCCCCTCACGTCTGCAGAGTAAGCTGCATGATCGGCGGTCGGGAGGACAGCGGCCTGGACGTCGCTGCCGTGGTCTGCCTGGGGTACCCTCTCAAGGTACGGACCGCTGCATTCAAGCGAACCCCCGATGACGTCATGCCCGCAGCCTGGCGTGTCCAAACCGAACTTAGCTCCCGCAGCATGTTGTGTGGACCAGAGGGGGTTCGGACATTTTGCGAACTTTTAGAAGGCCTCTACAATATTGTAAAAGCTGGACTATGCGGCTCGCAGAGATGGTGCCTTATGGTACCAGCTCATCAATCTGCAAATTGTCGTTTTTCGAGCATCCTTTCCAATCTCCCGACAGCCTTGCTGACAGATTGTGTACTGACTGATGAGTCGGCAGGAGAGTTCGGACGGTTGGGCAATCTCGTCCTGATTCAAGGTCGAAAAGATTGGCGGCAACATGAAACGGGATGCCAGACGAAGATTCCGCCGTTGAGGTGGCTCTTGATGTTTTGCGGTTCGTTCCTTCTCAGGGCATGGGGAAGGGTCCGCTCCGTGAGCAGACGCTGTTGGACCTCAAGTGCCCGGTGCTCTTTGTCCAGGTAACTTCGCATTACTTTCGCTGGCTTTTTATGCGGGCCAAAAGTATGGGATCGCCCTTTTCTTCATTTTGTCATTCGCCGTAGACCTGACCCCGTTCGTTTGGGAATTCCCCCTTGCCCAGCTCTCCGCATTTGGTATCCTCATGCGCAGCTAAACTCTTCTTGAGACCGTCGTTTCCTTGTTCTGCTGGCCGCTGCTCGAGCTCAGCCTGGCCTTGAACAACTTGGCGCCCTAATCAGCGCTTGTCCCGTTATAAAAAGCGTGTTCTCTGGACCGAAAGCCACATTCTCCTTTGAAGACTCAGCCTCCAGTTCCCGTCTGCTGCTACAGGGCAGCAAGGACTCCATGTGCCCGCTCGATTCACTGGCAGACGTCCGAGAGCGTATGTCTGCGGACAACAACTTATACGTCGTGGAGGGCGGCGATCACGGGCTGTCGGTCGGTGTAAAAGCGCTCGCGGCCCAGGAGCTCACTAAAGAGGAGGCCGAGTCGGCAGCGCTTGAGGCGATTGCGACCTTCCTTAGTCCCTTGCTCTGATGAATCTTCCAGATTACTTTCGCATGAGTAGTTAGGGGGACAAGTACCTGCCAGGTGTGTCGGTCACACATTCTTTGATTCGCGAGCTCTATGGTTCCTGTAGCGGCGGGACGAAGACAGAGCGAGACGATGCAGATTCGATGAAAGAGGTGAGAGAGTTCAGAAGGTTGTCAGAAAGTGTGACCGGTTAGAATCTCCTAAGGCGGCCGCCATGTTATTGTGCGACCCACGTCACAGGCGATTCCAAGTTTGCTCCAAACGATGTTAGATTCGGATCAACCGAATTTGTTACCTGCACAAGAGGCTGGTTGCAAAATACCTGATAGCATGTAGGGTCATATAATTGCACACGTTGCGCGTCAGCGCCGTGCACGCAACGTCCATACTATAGCATGTCGGATCCGACGGATGTGCTTTAAGCTGCATGCACTGGATTGGCTTGATCGGTCCTGCATGGCCCGCATGGGTTATACGTCAGGGCGGCCATCCGATTGACGCCGCTGCTCGGCAGCCCGCGCGCATGCCCACTGGCACTGAGCTGCATCTGTTGGCTGTTCAAGGCGGCTGAGCTCTGTCCATTGTACGCGCGCGAAGTGGACCCGTCAATCCACTCATCTAACGTACGCGCACTGAAGCTTGCAACCCTGCAGCAAGCTGAGTTATAAGGCCCCGGATAAATGTACGTCTGTCAGTGTATCGTAGTACGTTCGATCGGACTGTCACTGACCGGGCCGCGTCCGGCATGGTGCCGCCACAGTTCAATCAGTGCTTGAAGCTGCTAATTGTCCGGCTTCTCACTCGATCGCCCAGCTCAACTCCGACGTATACGACGACTCGAGCTTTGGGCCATGGATCATGGAGACTCGGGGTTGCGATTGATATCCTCTCCGTCAGGTCTGCTTGATTGACGGAGGAGAACTCAGCAAGCTGCATCACCGCTCGAAGTACGCGCTGTTCGATCAGCTAGCATTGGCATCCACGAGCAGACCAAGGATCCTTTGAAGCCCCTTTGAAGAAACGAGATGGACGGCTGTACCTCTAAAGACTTTGATTTGTTTTAATCTCGGAGGGGCGAACCCAGGCGAACCTCGAAGCTTCACGTCCATATGTACCTCTTCGCATCTCCGACTAGCCGCTAGACGAATCTAAATGACCTGTCTCTATCAAGTGGCCGGTCACCAACCTTGACAGTAACCCGACTCCAGAACCTCGATGACATGATTTGATTGATTGATTGATCCACGTTTTATCTCACCATATACTAGTAGCCTACTCGCTTTGATTTCTTCGTGTCTCCAGCTTCGAGGCGCCGAGAGCCGTGTGCCTTCCTTTCATGCTTGCACATGACTGAAGGGGACAATGACTCGGCCAATTGATTTGATCCTCGAACTTCACGATTTTACGAGATTCTTGTTGGCTTTCAAACAAGGGCACTATAGCCATCCGGAAGTCATCAACTTTCTTGCGCCCTCAGCTCGCACCGTTGTCATGGCGCTTTGCAAGGCAGGCCGGTGTCTAAAAGCAAACCAAAAGTCACCAGAAAAAGATAGAGTTGAGGACAGACCTTCATCCAGATGGAGAACACAACCCCGCGTGCGGCGCGCCATGGCGTCTTTTTGGAGCGCCAGTTTTGCTGCGTGCGTGTTCTGCCTGTTAGCAGGAGATTATCTGCAAATTTGGCAGCGGTCTGGGCTGGGCTCAACTTTGCAAGGTTTCTTTCCAGAAGGCAAGGGGTCCTTTGCCAAGGAAACGCAAGGTTTGCAAGGCACGATGAATCAAAGCAACAACATTGTGCACAAAGATCATCAACTTGCGTTCGCTCCAGATCAATCAGCAGAGAGTTGCAAGTTAGAAGCAGGTCATGAGTTCGCATCTGGCTTGATCGTCCAGGGAGCTTGCACGTGCCTTCCGGGACTTGAGTGCACTTTACACATCCGCTCTTTCCTCGAAGAGCACTGGGACACAGACGATAAAATGGCGCAGGAGCTGCTCGTCGTTTTTGAAGGCCCCGCACGCGCCATTGCCAGACTGGAGCCAGACAACAAAAACAGCGCCTTCGCCGCCTGGAGGGCCCGCTACCAGATCTGGGACCCCGGTTCGTACCGGGTCTCCGTGCAGGCGGGATGCACGGCGCGGAGCCAGAGCGTCATCCTGGCAACCTTTGGCGTGCAAGTGTCGGGGTTTGAGGGTTTAGGCACGCGGCCGCGGCCGACGCCGTGCGATTTTGGGCAGCATGGACGATGGCTTCTCGATCAACCGAGCAAGGATTACCGTTGGATACCTTTCCCGTGCGCCCCGCCTCTGGTAAATACGGAGACCTTCCCACAGGAGATAAGGCGGAGGGGTTATGGAAGGATAGTGTTCATAGGCGATTCCCACCAGCGAATGCTGTACATGCACCTGAAATTTCTGCTGGATGGGCGGGCGATCGTTGCGGACTACGACCGCCACGTGGACTTCACAAGCACCATCAATGAAGGGGATCCTGAAAGTGAATTGCAGCTCCGCTTCTACTGGGTTGACGGGTGAGCAGAGAGGTCTTGTTTCAAGCAGTGCTGTCCGCTGAAGACATACGTTTTTATTTGCGAGCTCTCTGATAACATCAACAATACTGACTCGACATAAGGTGTGCTTGACGTAATAGATACTGATTCGATTATCCAGGTGCTGACACGTTCTCGTTCGAGACGTCTTCAACCTTGAAGTTGCTGTCAACAAGAGAAGGTTATGGAACGTTGTTCCGACGTTCCGAGCTTCCTCTTTGTGGGTACACTTTACATCGGTCCCCTTTCCTTGGCAAAATGGCACTGATCCGTTCCGCTTGCTTCCCTTGCAGCATTTACCGGAACGGCCAGGACGGATGCCGGAACAGAGGGCGGTACTCCCGTCGCGAAGACTCCTTTCCTGAGATTGCCGCGAGCGACGACTCAATCTTTGTCCTTGACGCTGGAGCTTGGAGCGCCACATTCTGCGACAGGTATTCGTTCAAATTTAGAACAAGCCGCTATGTCTCGCGGCTTCGCACCTTTCTAAGCTTACATGCGAAAGCAAAGTAACCGTTAGTTTCATGATCCAGTAACTTTGTCCCTCCTATGTGAGCACAAGAAAAGGCTTACTAAAAATATTGGTCTTGTGAAACAAGTAAGACCGACACCGTACTGGAAGAGGGTACTTTTCAGTAGGAGACGATCTTACAGCTTTGGCGGCCTCGTTTTCAGACCGGCAACATGCTGAAACGGGTAAGCCAGACTTTCAAGTACGCAGCGGGCTGAATGTGTGCGGCAGAATCAGTCGAGTTCGCTCTTAATCAAAGCCGGAAAAACGTTCAACGTTCCCTCTGGTGAATGAAAATACAGGGCCACAAACGCCCTTGTATAAAATGCTCTGTCCTCGACGCGTCCAACGGCAACGTAAGGTGTTCTACCTTCTTTACGAGCTCGAAGCTCAAGGAAGAGTGTGCAGTGGCAGCGTCATACAAGCCTGCTCAGTTCGACCAGATGATTGTACGTACACTCACTCGGCCGAGAAAGTTCCATCTCTCAATGTGAGCATGCCCCCGGCTGCAATCGTGCGTTTTTCAAGGACCGTATTCCTGATCACATCGTTTTTCAATCACAGGCCCCTCCAAGCATATACCCGGCACATTTTACCGTTCATCGACTGGGGCGCATCTCTTGTCCGCGGAAACAGCACCCTTGTGTGGCGGACGGCTCCCCCTTCCGTCTGGTTCTGCGAACGGAAGAACGGAATCCTTCACCACTTCAATGAGATAACGTCACACCTACTGAGTGGGCGTATACCAGAGGTTAAGGTGTTTGACAGCTGGCAGATCGAGGCGCCCCGTTTCCGGGATGCAGACCCAATCAGCCATTACTCCTGGACGGAACCTAATGCGAACGGAAACGGAACGCTGGTGATGGCCGGTCCTGTGGGGAAGGCAGTAGTGCACGCATTCATGACTTGGGTACTCGAGAATCATAACTAGTTAAGCACAGGCCGTAGGGATGGAAAACGCCTTTGGCTGCTCGCTCTTTCGCTTCTTATTTTCTGTACTTTTAATCCTTAATTGAAGGGTCTGATGAGTATGTACCTTTCTGTGCAGCCATTTCTGACAAGTGGATAGCACAGAATCAGTCTCTAGCCCATGCGCAATCTACGTCGCTACATTGAGAGTCCGGAAGCGTTTAGAACTCATTTTTAGGATACGAAACGTAAGATGCCACGTGAAAGCTTACAACATCCGCAAAGGACGTGCATATTTTCTGATCCTAACAATTTGACATGAGAACATAAAACAGAGTTGTCAATCCGTAGATGTGCTCAATTTTTACAACCGCATAGAATGAAGGTGCCAACACAGAATCCACTTGACCGGCCCTCACCCGATTTGGCACCTTCGGTCACCGCCTCTGGAACCTCAACTTGTCCGTTTGACTGCTGACAAGCCTCGAAAACTCAAGACCAGCCTGAAAGTGTGATGCCATCGCAACCGTCAAAGAGTCAGGCTGCCTCTTGCCTCAGTTGTCCTTGCCTGTTGGATGCTTAGCGCCAATCGACACACATGACGTCGGCTTTGAGTAAAACTTGGGATAAAAAAACTTGAACCTGGTGAAAAACCCCGTATCCTATCCTATCCTCTATCCTTTTTACAAAACTCACCCCTCCTCCAAGCGACATGTCGTTGGAATCATCGTCCATAAGCACTCTGATGCTTATCCTGCTATTTCCTGGCATACTTCAAGTCGTATCACTGCAGACTCCGATTACCCGCCATCATCATTCGAACGTTATCAATTGCAAGATGCCTCTCAAATCCAACTAAGCGCGGCAGCTAGCGTGCACTTATGCAAGTGCTTAGCTAGAATGGATGCAAGCTCAATGAACGAGGTGCGTCCTTGTTATGAGCAATGCTTGTGCAACCATGCAAATAGACAAAGCCTAGCCAAGATGTAGAACCGCTCGTTCGTTCGAGACTCTTTCGGGTTTCTGATACATCGTCGAGGCTTACCTCGATAGTCTGTTGGCAAAGCCTATTGCTTCCTTTGGCTTAGCTTAGGACTGCTAGTGATCTTTCCATCCTCAATGCGCTTAAGGGGTGCGTCTCTATCCCCTGACTTGATTGGATAATCTGCATCAATAAAGCTGCAAAAGACATGCAAGTCGGTCAGACGTGGACCCTCTCAAACGACGTAAACTCCAGTTCCGCTCAATCGCCACAGTTGGCTGAAGAAAGCCCTTCGAGTTTGACCAACCGCTGGACCAAGATGCACCACTGACCATGTGCAACAAGGAGGGTCGAAGCTTGGACATACTGTCCGTCGAAAATGCTTGACGCTACCTAGAAGCACCTTCGCACAACGCTCTGAGCGGAACAGGTAGACTGGGTAGAGCGTCATCACTAGGAATCGTCTACTTAACCTTGAATCCACTTACAAAGTTCCCGAACCCTTGGGCTCTTCTCTGTAGCCAGCCGAACGGAGCCTGTTGAAAAAACAGCAAACAGGTTAGCGGACAACGATGGCCTTGCTGAGTGGACTGCATTGCGCTGTCGTACACGCAAGCGCCCTTTGTCGGATGAAAGGGTGCAAAGTCTGGTTGCTGCAAAGAGGTTCCTGGGAGCAGGCAGCTGCGCTTTTGTAAGAGAGACCACAGTCGTAGGACATGTACTCCGAAGGAACATCACCTCCAAGCAGCGCTCCAGCGTTGTGGCCCCAACCAGCTTGAAACACAACAGAGTATAACAAGGAGGAGCCAGAGGTATGCTGGAGACCTACATCTCGGCAACTTGGCCTTGTATCGTGACTCGGACCGCCCTGCCCTTTCCAGCCCCGGTCCGCAAGGTGACCAGAGCAGGCCCGCGAGACTTGTGCCCCTCCGTGTTCGCGCTCCTTGCCTTGCTGTTGGGTGGAGGGTAGGAGTAGGAGTCTGTTATGGCCGCCTTCATCGCCTCTATCTCCGCAATGATCGCCATCTTTGCTTCCTTACGCTTCTGCTTATACTCCGCGGCTCGTTGGGCGTTCGCAGCAAACAATTCGTCGAACTCAGCTCTGAAAGACGATTGAAACTCGTCAAGCGAGTCACCACTGCACGATCCGGCCCGCAGCTCATTGGGAGGCTTGCCAGGGGTTCCTGGAGAGAGAGCCATCCTGACAGCGCCTGCTCGACAGTCTACAAGTCTAGGGGCTGCAACAAGATCAAAAGCAAGGGATGGCGACGCCCGGCCCTGAGCTTGTCAACCATGCGCGCCTAAGGAAAACAGATGCTCCTCCTACAGCTTCAGCGCGCAGCTGCCTGCGCAAGTGCCTGTTCGACAGAGATCCTTCTTTCACCTGAGGGTTTTCAGCGTTTGCAATGTATCAGACAGCTGCGTATTGGCCCGCGCGCAGCTAGTACGGTCGACATGAGTTTGCGCGGCCGCGTGGCCGCTTCTCCAGAGGGTTTCAAGTTTTTGCGCTTGACGTCACGTACGTCCTACGCCTTAGAAGCTGACGTCACTAGTTCATTTGGCTCTCTGACAATGCGACGCGTGTCATCTATGTACTGGCCTAGCTATAGACGGCCCCTTCTGCTTGAATTGCAATCAGCAATGCAATGCAACGCGGGAATCAGGATGTGCGGTTTTGCAGGACCCCCATATATACTAGGACTACACCTATAGTCGCATTTGGGCGCTGCCAGCATTGTAGCCTGTAGGTGAGGTTGGCGCCACCTTCGCATCGGCACATCCGAAGTAGTCACCTGAGGTGGTCTCTGAGGGACCGCTGATTGTGCGCATTTTCGGTTGCACCGATGGCGAAAGTTGAGCTGGCGCTAGACAGCAAGTGCATATTGGGCGAGTGCCCCATCTCTGAAGCATCCGGGAAGGTAAGGCGAGGTGGCGCAAGCACGGCCTGACATGGATCTAAGCAATAAAGTTTCTCAACTGTATTCTTTGAAACTAACTTGACGAAGGATTGGCCCACAATAGGGCTTAGCACCGTGATCAATCTTCATGTTCGATTGACATTAGAGCCCTACAAACTGAATTCAACATGCAATGCTGTCTGCACCAGAGACAAGTGGCAGCGGTGGATGCTGCATTCTTAATTCTTTGTGTATATCCCTAGGTCCATTTTGTTGACATCAACAAGAAGCTGATCCACACGCTAGATCCCTCCTCCGACGACCATGAGATCATCGAGACGCCTGAGTTCGTGGGGTGCATTGTGCCACGCGCTGGAAAGGGGTTGCTTGCAGGCTTGCAGGTTGGTTTGCTTGCGCTCTTTCTCAATACTTTAAGGCGGCCTTTCTACAGGCTTGTATGTGCTTTTGTGGCAGCATTGCTTGGCAGTGTGCCTCTCTGACTGCAGCCGGATGGATGATTCTTTGATCTTCTGCGTCAGCTACACTCCATTTCTCTGTGGTTGTAGCCACTGTCGAATGTCACAAAGCGCAGCTGCTGTTTTATAGTCCTGTCTCCTGGTAGCCGGCATTCAGTTGCATTTGATCTTTTTGTGGTGGTGCAGCTTTCGACGCCAACCCTTCTGTAAACTTTCTGAAAAATCGAAGTTTCGTGTTTGGAATTTGAGGGCCATTGTTCAAAGTCCATGCTGTGGAAAGTATCCCTCTTCAAAGGCTTTCAGTTTGATGCAAGTATTGGCCACCGCTGCAGCCTTTGCCTAGGCATCATCTTTTTCTAGGTTGATTGGACAGAGGGCAAGCACCGAATGTACACAGCACCAGAGTCAAGCTCAGCTTTTGTTTCTTTGATTCTTTTGTCAGACATGCATCTGCTAATATGTGCACTGATGTGTGGTCGTCTTTGCAGCACACCATTGTCCATGTTGACACCATGGTCAGCAAGCTAGGCGACGTCGTGGCCCGCGTTCCTGAGGGGAATGCAAAAGAGCACTTTCGGTTCAATGATGGAAAGGTGGATCCGGCAGGAAGGTTCTGGGTGAGTTCGAAAGCTGGTTTTCTGCTATTCAAAGATGGTGCTTGCTGAGGGTTTTGGCCTTTCTTATAGATATTGGGCGATTCGAAATTATGCTTTTGTAGTCCAGTCTGTTGACGAAGGTCAGCCCCCCTTCAATGCGGTGTGTGGGCCATCAAAAGCTAGATGGACGTTTTTCGATGTGCGCCTAGTTCTTGTTAGGCAATAAATAAGCAGGTTCGTGTGGATATCTGCAATTGATCAGACGAGCGCACAGGATATACGTTCAAGGAAATGGAAAAGGCTGTCCGTGTATCCGGCTGGCTCCTCTTAGTTCTGCATCTCCAAGGAACGTTTGGGTTTTTTCCTGAATGATTGGCTAAAGACTTATCGCTTCCATGTACATCCTACTCGAACAGCTCAACTTCCCACTTTCACTTATGTAAGCTTACCACGTCGGACTGTTCTGATTTGTCGATGTTTTCCTGACGCCGCAGTCTCTGCATGACAGGTTGGCCATATGAACCTGCACTGGCGAGACCCGACGGTGGCCAAGGGCAAGCTGTATTGTTTGGATCCAGCAAAGAAGGACGACGGTCTGGTGGTGAAACTGAACGACACCGTTCTTTCCAACGGCCTGTGCTGGAGCAGCGACAAGCGGTCCTTCTTCTGGGTGGACACATCACTGCAGGTGGGGATAATCAAGTGTTTTCAACGCAATACTCAGAGCTTGGTCAAAGTCTAAAGTCGATATCAAATGAAGAATCCACTCGAGGATGCACCACTCGATTCTCCAAACCTCGATTGGCTCACATGCTGCGGTTGTCTGACGTGCCCGTTCCGCCTTGCCATATTTTCAGTTTGTGGTTGAAACAACGTGTCTAAAAGCAAGAGTCTGCGCCAAGATATTTAGGGGGATCGTCTTTGACGCAACTCGCTCGTTATTGACGAAGTGTAGCGCCCTGTCGCGGCTGAAGTTCCCAATCAATTCAATTTAAGCAAACACCGGCCTCAGAGGTGATCGTCCTCAGTGCTGTAACTGCTGACCGCGTGTCTCCCATGCAGAAAGCGTACCACTTTGACTACGACCTAGAGTCCGGCGACATCAGCAACCAAAAAGTGTGCGTCGATGTTCCCGAAGACTTTGGTAAGTCACTGGTTCTGCTCCGCACCGTGAACGTACACGCACGGGCCCTCCGCAAGTCTGTTGCTCGAAAGTTCCCACAGTCGTTTTGCTTCTCTATTCCAGTTGAGTGCCTAATGTTTGGACAGGCGGACTCCCTCCCCTGAGGTCTTTGCAGCCTGTCATTGTCTCGATGTCCGTTGGGAGACAGCAATTATTAGAGGAACGATGCACGGATTCTCAAGCAAGTGCTCCATTCGTGAGACGAACCGTTGAAGACGAGCTGTCCTCGTTTGACTCCCCTGCTTGAGACACTGTGAAAGTTTGGTCCGAAGCGTCTGATTGTGAATAACCCCTCACCAGCCGAGATCAACTTCATGCGCTGCTTCTCACAGGCTTGCCCGACGGGATGACGATCGACTCAAACGATAAGCTATGGATCGCCATCGGCGAGAGCGGGCACGTGGCTCAGTACGACCCCGAGACTGGCAAGGAGCTGCAACGAGTGAAGCTGCCAGTGAAGAGGCCGACGTCTCTAGAGTTTGGAGGTGAGGCTTTCTGTTGATCAGCAAAATTTTGTTTCGAATAACTTGTGTGGAAGTCGAGCTGCGAACCAACCAGCCGGGGCTTTAATTTGTTTCGCCTTACAGAATTGCGCCTGCGCTGGGCCTCACTTCCATGTAAGGGGCAGTTGCACGGACAAAGGTTTCCTTGATGAGTGGACTCTCGACTTGGGGAGCGGGCGCAAAGAAGCGGGTGACCTCGCTACTTAGATTTGAAGCCGTGACACTTTGAACTGAAGAGAGCTTCTGATCTGAGAGTCGCGGCAACTTTGCATCGGACACTCTCGATATTGTGCCTTCAAATCCTGCGGGGTCCAGGAAGAGACGATTGAAGCTTCTTTAACCGAGCCAAACAGAGGTTGGACGAACGGAGCGTCCTCGGAATCCTCTACCCCTCTTGTCCTAAACTAAAATCGACGCTCGATTTAATCTGCAGGAAAGGACCTGTCCGAGTTGTACGTCACCACCAGGGAGGAGCCCGGTAAGCGCGTCCCTTAGACCGTCCCGAATGCAACGATAATCCGGAGCACCCTGTATTCGCTTCTTTTGCGCTTCGGCACGGATATGCTTCTTCATGTCGTATGGTATTCGTGCGTCGCAGTTTCGAAACGGACGTGCCTCTTCGTACTGATAAACCGTCCGGTAATCGTACATAGCAGTAACCAAAGACACGAGTTCAAAATCTAGTCGCATCCATGAGACAACTTTTGCAGATGCGCTTATCGCGATATAGCTAGACACATCTCTACTGGTGCCCCCGGCTCATGCATTTTCTATGGTCCTGCCTTGCAAATCTTTCAGAGTTTTCGTATTGAGGTCATTCATTGTTTTCTTGATCCGTGGGCCTCGTCTGCTGCTTTACCGCCGCTCCTCGTTGTAAGAACTGCCATCTGTCCGTATATGCAGGCAAGAACCCTTCTCCGCACGCTGGAGGCCTCTTCAGGGCGCACATCCCCGGTGTCAAGGGTCTCGCACACTCTTTCGAGTATGCGGGTTGAGCAATCTTAAAGATTGAAAGTAGGAAACAGCGACAGGAACGATAGTCAGAGCATTCTTTTGAGCGCCATAGAACTCTGAACATGCGACAGCAGCTTGTCCAACCGTTGCTCGATCAATACGTGGCAACCGGATCATCAATATTGACGAGTTTCAGAGCAGTTCAGCACATCTTAGTATCTAGAAGGAGGGTCATGGAGACAGGACCGGACATGAGCGGCATCATACCGTCATCGGTGAGCACAAATTCTCCGCTGTGTGCATGCGGCCACAATAGTCAGTTACCTCAACTCAACTATCAGATTGTCATGGGAACCGTCTCTTCGTCGACCCCTGCGATATGCATGGCGGCCAAATCTGCTGCAGAAACGTACATAACGACTGGCCCGCTCGAAGTCGCGGCTTGTTTTGCAGGATGCACTCTAGCCCGTAGCTTCTAGCCTGTAGCTAATTTAACAAGCCTGTCCAGCTGCCATGTGAGACAAAGTGAATTGCATGACATGCAGCATTGCGAATCAATCTGGCTCATGTGGACGAAGTCACTGCGTGCATAAGTTAGTATACTAAGCCTATAGCCGAATAGCATGACGTCCAGCACTTGCGAGCTTGTGTCCTGCTGCAAACGCCATAAAAGAATCCGACTAGTGGCTAATCCTAGATCTATGATTTGCGTAACGGCGGCACAGCGGTACCTCGTGTGACCAGCCGTCTACCTCCGTGCCAGCCGCACCATGCAAACATGCAAGCGAGCACGTGTCAACCAAGCGTCCGACCAATTCGATGGCTTAGTATCGGCAACCGGTATGGGCACCAGGAGTTTAGTATGGCCCATCATAATAGAATGAGCTCCGGAGTAAGGGCATGCTGCTGTAGCGAGGTCATTGGATCTAGTGCCGCCGCGTATCATTGATGATGGCCCATCATAGAGGGAGCCAGGGTTGCTCGAATTGTTATTTTTCCAATCGCAAAAGCAACTCAAATTCTCCCGAGCTGAACTAGGAAGCTTACTTCTTGCGAGTGACCAGTGCCCTCTGCCCTGCGTCTGCAAGTGCCTTGGGCGGCTTCAACATCCCTGCCCTCTTTAGTGACACTTCCGCATCCTTGCCCAAAACCCCCTGCTTTGATAGGTGTCCCTGGCCAAGGACCTCCGACTCCCAAGGACCTCCCACTCCCGAGAGCTGTTGATTGAGCCCTGCACAGAATCACAACATGTGAAACACAGGCTCACAGGCCGCCTCAGAATTGTCAACAAGCAGCCGAAAGTACCAATTGCTTTGCAGACATGACGCGTTGGTCCACCCCAAGTGGCATGGTGCCCTGGGAGCAAGAAAGGAGGAACAAGCTTGGGTCCCGCGACCAAGCACAAGTTTGTTGTCAATCCCTTTCCACTAATCAAGGGACTCTTACCACAAGCGTTTTCTCCCAAAGCCCCAAGTGCACTGCCCCTATGCCCCACCGGCCTCCCAGCTGCCCCAAGCATCAATCCCTCCCTCCAGAAAGGATGCCACTTCGGGCCCGGAGAGGTGCGCGCCTTGTCATCGTGCGGATGTCGATGGGCGGGTTGACCCCAGAGCTGCGGTGCCGCCAGCCGACTTCGCGTGTACGCGCGGCTGCAGGAAGTCCACGGGGGCGGCCCGCATGCTGCTCTGTGATGGGTGCACGGGGCTGGCTGGCATCTGGAGTGCCTGTCCAGGCCCCTCTCAGCGGTCCCGGAAGGGGACTGGTTCTGCGCGCAAAGCAAAGGCGCGCATGCACTGGAGCCTGGGTCAGCTGCGCGCTAGGGTGCGGTGGCAGCTGGGATGGCAGGACGAGGGGGTGCTCGCGGCGGGCCCAACCGTGTGAGCCCCCTTGTCTCCGAGCCCAGGCAGGCACAGCTGGCGGTGGCAGCTGGAGGGGCGGAGCAGGGGGTTGCTCGCAACGGGCCCAGCCGTGTCGGAGCCCCCTTGTCTCTTAGCCCCGGCGAGGACGGCTGGCGATGGCAGCCGGAGGAAGGCCAGGATCGGGCGCAGGTCTAGGTTGTGTTGTGGTAGTGGACCCAAGTTTCAAGGTTTGGGTCCAGGAGGGGATGTGTAGCACGGTCAACATGTCTATGTTGCAGGGTGGTCGAGTCTTGCGGCGGCGTGACGAGTCACGAGACAGATCGGATAGGAGATGAATGGGCGCGACAGCTGTCAGGCTGGTTTGTATCGGGTCTGATTTATGTCCGGTTTAATTAACTCGTAACTAGAGTGAGCACAATTGTTGGTATTTAGATAAGTGCAAGGGCACACAGCACAGGAACAGAACATGACCATAAGGGAAGGAATGAAGCTTGTGCTTCATTCTTACTTCTGTTCAACTAAAGGCTTTGTAAGGGAGGTTTCATGACCCTTGAGAGCTGTACAGTGGCCTGGAGAAAGTCTCATGTAAGGAAGTGATATTGGTGACATGCGCCTCGCTTGCACTCATGGTCCTTCTGTGATGCGTGGAATGTGGCGCAGCTAATCACATGTGTAGCACGGTCAACATGTCTACGTTGCAGGGTGGTCGAGTCTCGCGGTGGCGTGACGAGACAGATCGGATAGGAGTTGAATGGGCGCGACAGGTGGTCGTAATGTGGGCCAGATCCACTGTTGAACATTCAAAGCTGGGACCCGAACACCTGATTGAACCGTTGAGCGCTGGATTCAGCATGGTCTGCAATTGGCACAAAGAGGCCATCAAGTTCAATGTCATAGCTGCATTGCATCATGCATGGTGCCAGGAAGTGTTTGGCTTCGCGGCTACATATCTGGTGCAGCAGTGGCAGTGATCTAGCTGTGCGGCTTTGTTGAATTGCGTGATCTGGCGCGGCACTTCTGCTCGAGTTTTTAGCTCCTATCGGACGCCTAGGTTTATCTAACTAGTGCGAGCTATAGCGTTTATCCGGATGTGGGTCCGTCCGGCATTTTGATTTGTTGTTGTGTCGTGTTGGAACTTGGAGTTGGCTGAAATGGGTGCGATGCCGTACTACGGAATATTTTCATATGTAGGGGCGACTGGATTCTGTTGTAGATTTGGACACAACATACAGCGATTTTGCAAATTTTTCTGTAATACACTTTGGTTTTCGCCAAGTAGCCGTACAGCAGGTTTCGTTTGCATGTTTTATGAAAAGCGCAAACGAAATCCTGAAACTCACCGCCGAACAGCGGCACTAGAAGCAAGTGATTTAAGAAGCTTCTAACGGGGCTACTTAACTCTATTTTACCGTGTTTACCGCGGTGTACGGTAGTTTTGCTGGAACCTACATTGAATGTGACCATTTTGATGCAGGGGGCTGGAGACGCAGCCCGGCCACTTTACCTAGCATGTGAAGGCCCAATGGAGAGACCAGGGTGCCCCCCCGCCCACCCTTCGAGGCGTTTCATATAATTACGGCAGTAGGTGGTTTCTTTCGGTATAGCCCAGAGGGCAAAGAAATAGTGTACATGTGATTGGACGGATTTATCTACAGGTCCTCACCTAACGATCAAGCGTTCAATTCGTAGCAACTAATAACAGCGTCAATACATAAGATTATCTATCTATCAACTTTTTATCTAGATGGCTAATCTCAACGTATATCTGAAGTTGTATTGCTAACAATCAACACTAATCGTGTCAACGGGAGGGGAGGAAGGGGGCCTCCTCATCGGGAAAATTGCTTTGAAAAGTTCTATGATTGGTCAATCGTAGATTGTCGTAGATCATCGACCTTGGTCGGCGTAGATCTCGGAACCAATGATAGGTCTTTATGTCCCGGAGCATAGGCTCAACCTTGGCCGTAGATCAAGGATGATTATCCGTGTACGTTTGACCATTGAACATCCGGTCGTTGATTTGGCCTCGGCAGACCATAGGTTCAGCGTTGGACCATGGTCGGCCCAACCAGCATTTGGGCAGCATTCATGCATCATTCAATGTTGCTACTTGAATTGAGCATCCATGGTATTTCACTGGACAACCAACAATCAACCATAAATCTATGTCATACATGGTTGGTCCAGCAGTGCTGACATCGGAGCTCCATTGGTATTAACTATCAGGGTTCCGAGAGAGTGGCAGAGCTGATCCATGTACTTGAAGTGAAGGTGCTGAAAAACACCATGAATCATGAACCTAACAACATATTTAGCAATTACATCAACTCAATATTCCACTACCTGTGACACGAAAGAGGTATCTGCAAAGACAAGTTGAGATTAGTTCCTTGGGAACGAGATTTCTTGGTGCAATCCGCACGTCAACCTATTGTACAATTAGACCTGTGCGCGTAGTATTGTTAATTCTGTAATGTTCCTTCAGCTTGCGATTCGACCACAACAAAAGTGTAACATGCCATGCCTTAGCGAGATTTACAATCGGCTTTGACCACATTATTTTGACCATGTACAGAGGAACAATCTGCAATAGCCAGTGTGAAAAGCAGATTTACAAGAGAGCAGATTCCCTGAATCCCCAGCACTTGATCTCCATACTTTCTCCTAAATTTACCTTGTCTTCAGGATGAATGCACTCAACTGGCACTCCTCAGCTCACTGCTAGAATGCATCCACCCGCCACCATGTCAT